TACAGTTATTTTACCTCCGCGAAATGGACTACGATTGCTTAAGGTCATTTAAGGCCTCCCTTAAGGCTCCGATCTACCTTCTATCTCCACCCATATAAGGCCCATACCTATGAGGTCCGTATCCACAAGGTAGCTTGACTTTCCCCCTTTTTCGCCCTCACGTTAATGGGAGGCCCCTAAAAAATGAGTTATTCAGTGTCCGATCACCGTTAAAAATTGTTCTTTCTCTTGCTCTAGCGATCAATGAATTCATTTAGGCAGGCTTCTCGTACTGCAAACAAATACAAATTCTTTCTGAATCTGAACTGCTGTGCCATCTGGGCATCGAAAGAAATGCGCCTTCATTTTATCAATCAGGCAAAAAACCGTTTCACGTGTTCGAATAGTCGCATGTACATTGACTTCACAAAAATGTACAATTTTTTCAATGTATAATAAGTATATACAGGCGGTTTTTTTCTAGCCACAGAAAAACCTATTCTTACGTCAAACCCCGGACTTACAGAAATCTAGGCACGTATTTCTGTCGTTGCTTCCAAAAGTGATCTATGTAATTTTAAAGCCCCTAACACCTGTTTTTCCGTGGAAGTTTCTGAACGTTTTATAACAACATTTGTTCGGATTTCTTTCGTGGGATGTTTGAAAATGCCGTCTTTTGGTGTGAAATATCAATGTGCAATGTAAGGTTAAATTTTTGATTTAGTTAGGTACCTCACGTGACAAAAATTTGCTTACAATCCCATCATTTATCCAAAAAAGAAAAAAAAATATTCGCACATAAACCCATATTATTTCATCATGAATGGAAAAAAAAAAATCTGAATGTTCGAAAATAAAATTCAGCAAAAAATGCGCATGTATGTGCGCGGTGTGTGTAAAGAACATTATCAAATGTTCTTGGGACACGTCGTGAGGGGTGAAATTCTTGTTTTTGAAAGGGGGAGGGTATATTTCATCATTTAATTCTAAATCATAGAAATTCAAATTTCTCACTGCATCTGATTCCTTGAGTATACTTTTTTAACTTAAAATCTCTTCTTGAAAGTGCTATCTCGCCTTTCGAGATATTTGCTAGGTACAATCTTATTTCAATTCACGACTAATTTCAGGAAGATCATTTACATTGGATCATTATTGATCGTGATTATGATAATATATTATTTTGCGCGTTGCAACGGATCGGGCTTTGCATAGACATCCGGAACTTCAATGAAAATGGATTAAATTAATTCATAACAAAAGCATTACTCGTCCCGGTATTAAAATGTCTCAGAATCCATCCTAATAATTTGTCTCGATTTATTTATTTATGATAATTTCAGAAGTACTTACTTCCGAACTACTTTAAATGCAAAAACTGATGGCAATGTCGAGAGATACATAAACAACGCGCCCCCTCCCCTCCCATAGAATTATTCGTGTACCGGATAGGATTTTCAGAGGCAGTAGGGGTCTATAATTCCACCACTCAACGTGGAAAAGCGTCTGAAGTGAAATTTTTCAGGGGGAGCTGCGAATCATAAATGCTTTCCGAAAAAGTTGGAAATCAGCCTCTCGCATAAAGCTATCGGATGCTTCATCGCATCTGGACTGTAATTATTAGTTCATAATTTTAGTGTTCTTTTTAAGGAGGTGAAAGTAGGTAGTCTTTTTAATCTTGGTAAGCTTTCGAGTGGCCGAAATTGAAGTATCTCCTGAATGAAGAAAATCGATAGGTTGGAGCGTGTGAACAGATTTTACAACAAAATGCAACTTCAAAAAAATTTAACCTGTAAAACACAGTTTGTAGCCTCAAAATCAGAACTGAAATTCCAATTGAAATTTTATGCGTGCCGCGATGCTGAATGTTATTTTTAAATTTTATGATTGGTTTTTAAAAATTGCGAAAATGTTGCTCACGCCCCTAATTCAATGGCCGCCTCAATTGTCTTGGTACGACAGCAAAGTTTATTCATCTTTTTTTGAAATTCAATTTTTTTCTCACAAAAGTGTTCGGTTTAAAAAATAAGGCCCTCTCATCCTTTCAATACTAACCCCATGTGATTTACAATTTGCGGGTATCTTTATTACGTCAACGAGTATCATACGTGAATCGTGAATTACTGAGCTTAATGATGTTTTTATAATAAAAGCGCTCGTATAAGCATAAAGAAATCTTGGTGACAATTCAATGAGAGTTCCTGAACACACTCTCAAAAATAGAAAACTTATAGGGTAGACCGATTGAAATTTTACAGCTTTTTTCGTTTCCACCGAGGAAAAAGCTCAATTCAGCCAAGGAAGTATATTGAAACAATCGGAGCACCATAGAAAATGTATTTTCACGCCTGCACCTGAGCAAATAAAATCATTGCCTAGTTTTAATTTTCCAATGATTCGTAGAAGAAAGTTGACAAATTCAAAGACTGCTAAGGTTAGGTTGGACTTTACTTTCTTCAAAAAATTACCAGAATTCATCATGAAAAATAGATTAACAGTAAGTATTGGAGGAATGAACATATACAGCATGATTGTAGGTATTGTCTGTAGGTTTTACATTTTGTCAAACAATTGGTGTGGGCTGAAATGATGTAAAAACGCTCATCATCTGCAGCCCTACCTGTGTAAGACTTGCCGTAGAAAATAATCGATCTTTCATGATTTTTAAGCACACTATATGCAATAACTTTGACACTCCCAAATCACGTTTCTCGTTTGCGGCGTTTTCAAGTCTCTGCTTCCATTTTATTTTTTGAAAGAGAGCAAATCTGCATCTCTTCCTGGCGTTTCCACGTAATTTTCATCACGCAGAGGATATAATCACGTGAAGTTTTGCAGATTTGACGTTGAGTGTATTTTGCAGTTTAATAAATAAAGTATGGCGGAAGGGCTGCAACGTCGCAAACCGATTTCGGAGTTTCATCTTCGATGGGTGGCTGTCCACCAAAAACGGGAACTTAGTTCATGCAGGTAAAGGTTTCAGTCGGTACCTAAAACGATTTTTGTAAAAAAAATCAGATACTGAGATCGTGACGGGAAAATCTTTCTATATAGTCATAAGTTGCAATCGGCTTAATTTATTTTCGAACAAATATGAAATTCTTTAAAGTTGCATCATGCTTTGCACAAAAATGTTTGTTTTAAACCGGGCAGATTAAAATTTAAAAAAAAAAAAAAAACTTTTTCCATGCTAGCTTTATTAAACGGTGAACTTTCAAACCGAAGTATAATATCAACTTGGGTTCACATTTTAGGGCGGTTTTTGTCTAAAAATGTTCAACGAATACTTTCGCATGCTCTCATGTAAAAAACTCAATTTTGAGTTTTTGTGGACTACGACTCCTCTTTTCTGAGACGGTTACATGTTTTAAAATTCCAAAATTCACCATCCATTCAGCACTTGATTTAAATTATTCGGTAAGAGGAGCACTAGTTTCACACGATTTTCATTCCAAGTTAGACAAATACCTGACTTTTGATCATAGCTTTCTCGGGAGAAATTCGTAGTCATGTTGAATCAACATGGTGGATAATCTTCATATCAATAATTTGTACTTGATTTGAAAATGTATCAAAGCGTATCACATGACTGTCAGCAGGTTTAACCAACTGTAGAGGGGAAAATTTCCTATTTGTTCCACGAATATATTTAAATTAAGAAATGTCCCATTTTATTATGATGGTCTTCAAATGTAGTTTATCCCTCCATATAATGTAGGTATACTAGATCAAGATTTTGCAAAATTCAATACTAGCCTCGAACTTAAGAAGTTCGTCCATTATTATTATTACTGTCCTCCTTAACATACACAATTATGTTAAAATTTATATCTTGGTGTGATGCAAAGGTGTATGATGAATTGTAAGTTCATATGAGTTTACTTCACACCTGCCCACAATATGCACACAAGCCTGCACACAATATGCCACGCAACAGCCTTTAAAAATGTATCCTTCAAAAATCAAGCGAACATCTTGACCAATTTTTGTACCTATCATTGTTACTGTACTTAAAACGGCATTTTTATCAGATCCTATGGTTGTACAGTGTAGGTATACTAAGCTTCTCGTTTGGTAAAATAAGCTCTTCTCTAGTATCCATGTATCCTCTTTTGTAGGAACGTGTTTCAACATGATTATCTATAGGGGAACGACAGGTTCTTCCTGTGACCCGCAATGATTTTTAAAATTTACTTATAAGTGAAAATTGCTTGATAGATTCTACATGGGGAAACATTGTGTCTTTGATTTCGAATTTAATTTATTGTTAGATGTATATGTAGTCAAAAACTTCTATTTTCTTCCCTTCAACAAAACTACTTGCTGCGTGAACTGAATCGATGGAACAGTATTTGTCAGAAATGAAAGAAAGGGGAAAGCGCCGAAAACAAAGTCTAAAAATGTAACATAGACGTCAATAATATTAGAGAATAGGTATCTATATTAATAATGTTAAGAGCGAGGAGGGTGAATGAAGACGGGCAAGTCTGGACCCGGAAAAGTTTCGAGTGAGGTCAGAGGAAGGATGAAAGAGGCTTTAGATTCTTCTCGATGGGAGATTCGAAGAAAGCCGAAACTAATATCAATTAATTAAAATAGCTTGCGGGGAAATCACCTACACCTGAGGGCCTGAGGGGTAAGGGATGAAAGATGGGGTAATAGGAGGAAAGCACACGGGGCCGAGGTGAAAGGGAAATTTCCCGCGGTGTCTAGAGCCGACTTCACATCCACCCCTTTCCCTTCCCCTCGCTCCCACCCCCTCCCGGTTGGTTCGGCAGGGAACACTTAACCTATCACGGAGCAATCTTCGGGGCAGAATTAGAAGATGAAAAATTTTCGGTCGGTGGTTGCGGTTATAAAAATAATAAACTCTTGACGCGGTATTATTTGCTTTATTGATTTTCCCCCTTTTCACGGCGAAGCGCCCGTCTCGGAACGCAGGGACGGACCGCTCGCGCCGAGAACGGAACAGGGAACGTGTCCGTGAAATTGGCGAAATTTGAATGAAATTTATTCCTTACCCTGTTCGCAGAAGCGGAATCCTGAGATCTGGATAGTTCCGACCACCATAACACGACACAGGTATTTTTACCGGGGTTCGGTACAAGTTCACTATCACTACAACTGATAACAACATTAAATTTCATAACTATGTCCGTACAACAACAAACTAAACTATAATTTTCTCAAGGCGGCATTTCGGCGCACGTCGAAAATAATAACGGGTACGTTTCAACGAGGAGCGTTTAGAAAACGGGAATTAAAAACAAGGAAGGGAAAACACTTGTGGTCGAGATTTATTCGAGGGTTGCGCATGGGATTCCGCGTTTTGAGGGTTATGGGTCGGGAGGCCGACATGTGAGAAAGGTTGCGCGAGGCGAATTTGCAGGAACGGAAAACGGGAAACGGGGAATGAACGCACAGGGCACGGCGCGGATCAGATCGGGGAACGAACAAAACAAGCGGCGACCAACTCAGTTGTACTCGGTTACATGATAATATCTGCAAAATCCTGTCGGGCTATCGAGCTCACAAACTTGCCGATGTGTTGAAAGAGCGCTCCAACCCTCACACACACAAACGTGACGCGCTACTGCCATAATAATTGCTGGCAGAATCCTCTGGGCCTGTATCGATTGATTCATATGTGACGTCATATCAAGGGGACAGTTGTATATGTGTGGAGGGGGGTGCGAATAACAGAAAAGTGCAGACACGATATGAAATTCAATTTTATTACTTTTTTCTTTTCCTTTCCTTCTTCTTCTTCCTTTTCCTTGCCCCCGCCCCGCCCCCTCCGCGCACGCTCCTCCCCTCTCCCCTCCCAACTCGCGCCCGCCGCGCCGCGCCGCGCCGCGTCTCCTTTTTCTTTTTGCTTTTGCTTTTTCTTTTTCTTTTTCTTTTTCTCCGCGAGGCTTTCCACCCTTCACGCGGTCTGCTCGACGATCTCGCGGCTCTTGCGCATTGGCTCCGAATTATTCTCGGTTCCTGCTCGAGAAATGACGCTTTTGTGGAACTATGATGCACGCCCTATTCTTCTCCACTATTTTCCCTCGCATTCAACTCGTCACGCCGACGTTTCCCTCAATTTTTCGCCTTTTCCAGCGCCCAACTTTAACCTGAGCCATTCCTCCCCGGAATCGAATTCCGGCCAGACACGCGGCCCGAAGAATCAACCAAACGCAAGCTTTTCACATCCCGCAGTCGCATATTTTTGCTTATTGCGAGATCCTGTCGAGTCACCGATTCGTAACAAAAAATATTCGAACGCTGATAGTGAGTGATATAACTAGGGTTTCAATATTTAAAGAAAAGTCAATACGAAAGAGATTGACACAATTTTTTGAAAATGAGAATAAAAATAAGTAATTTTCAAAATTGGATTAAGCCGCTAGTTCGGTCGATGATTTAGTAGGTTTTGGAAATAGAATCCAAGTACTTTCTTATAAAATGATGATTAAAAAAAAAAAAAAAAAAAAAAAAAAAATCAATCAAGCACTATGCGACAGATCAGTTCATAAATTAAGTATGCATTTAGTCGTAAGACTAACTGCACGACTAATAGTCGTAATAATTATGATTAAAAATCAATGTAGTAAAACGACATAGAGGAGTTTTTGAATATAGGTATACATAGTTAATTAATATTTGAAGCTGCAAAGTGCAGTCTACTACCTACACTCACCGACAAGTGTTCTGCATACAATTTAAAGTCAGAAAAGCATGTTGGGATTTAGCAAATCTCTACTCATTTCTCACTTTTTAAATGAGAAATCTGAAAAACCAGCGGTTCTTTAAGAGAAAAGGGTAGACTTTTTTTTAAGATATCCCGAAAAATTTCAAGAAGATACTCTGGTTAATTTTAATTCGAGAGAAATGAAAAATAATCAGAGACTTCCAATTGAGGCAATTAAATTGTGATTTTCTGACTTTAAAAATACTAAAACTAGACAAGCATGTGTTCCTATTCTAATAATCAGCCAAAAGTAGTAGGTAGGTATCCACAGATACTTAAATCAGCGGCGGTGTCTGACCAGAGGAATCTAGGGACAGCTGTTACAGCACAAGAGCTCGCGGGATATGGGTTCGCTACTTCGCCTTCACTCATCAAGATAGGCCAGAAAGTATACAGTTTGAAATGAGTACCTGGACCTGGAGGAACATGCAGAGCGTCGTCTGAATCACTCGCCTGGTTACATAAAATTCCAGCCGGCTGCTTAATCTTTAACAGTTTTCCTTGTTATATTACTCTATTTAGCTTTTGAAAAATATAGGATTCATGAAAAATATTAAAAATTATTAAAATAATTATTCTTGAATCATTCCTCATTTGCCGCGGAGTGGTAGTCCTAGCGTAAGTACATTCAGAGAAAGCTAGCGCCCTAAATTAACGGCAAAATTCCGAAAACCTGCCTACTGAGTTAAGCGTCAATTCTCGTTTTATTTTTGAAAATAAAAACAAACAAATATTTTAGCGTGAAATTTGTATCTAATAATCGGGACAAGGTAAGAGTATCAAAGAAAATTTCAAGTCGCATATGGCTGACACAACAATGTGTGTTTATTTGCTCCATTTTGAACAAGTATCGCTGCTTGTTTTTGTAGGATATTTTTACGCAGAGAATATTTTTGTAAGGGTACAGAAAAATCACTTGTAATTCTGCGCGACGGCAATGCCCGGTCATCTTTGAAAAAATTAAAATATGAGACAAAATCTGCAATGTAGCAAACAGTATTAGGTACAGAGTCTTGTAGTACCACCGTAAGGCAAGACTCCGTAAAATACGGTAAAAACAATGGTATCATACGGTGACGGAGTCGTGATAAAATATCACAACATTTCCGGTGTCACATATATAGAGAACTGTTAGGCAGAAAATTTCCAAGATTATTTACTTCATAAGCTCAATCAGCACAATCACTGGTCTTGAAAATGTGCATATGCTTCGGGTGTGTGGATAAGATAGCATTTTTTAACTTATTCTGTAATATAAAATCATTAGAGTAACGAGTAATGCGTGATGCCTGGGGCGCGAAGCGTTTTCGGGGGTTGGAACGTGAAGCGGTCAGCCCCCAAGTGTCTCATTAAAGTGAACAACAAATGGACAAACAGCCAACGCAAAGCGGTACACTGAACGGAGTAGAGCGAGTTTCTCTATCGAGGGACATTCGGGCGAGAAGTCAATGAAGGCGCGGAAGTGCAACTATTCGTGTTCGACGGATGTCCATGTTGCATAAACGGAAAGTTGAAGGCGCACCGAGAGGTTCATAACAACGCCGGCGACCCCGCGCGCAACTATTCGTGTTCGACGGATGGCCATGTTGCATAAATACGAAAGGTTGAAGGCAAACTAGTTCTCCGCATTCTTGTTACTTTACATTCATGATTCAGGAATAGATCTGTTGCAATGATCGATAATATCTGCGATATCGCCCTCCGAAAATTGTAGTGATTACCTACCGTCCTCCATTGCGGTACTGCGGTTTTTTTTCTCCGCTAATTCTTCCATCAGTCATGTTAAAACTTTGCTCTGTTGATTCCATGTGAATCACTGAAAGATCAAAGTATAGATGAAGTTAACTGGACGTATTTCTGTCAAACGGAACTATGTCCACTAAAACACGAGCCCTGAGACCCATAAGAATACGTGCATAACAGGGCTTACGTCATAATGCACATAGTTCCGTTTGATAGAAATACGTCCAACTAAGGTAGGTGGATGACGCAGCAAGGTGGATGACGTAAATAGCTATGTTTTTTCAAGATTAATACGCGTATCCTTGTTCTGGGATTTATAAAGTTCGCGCTTGGATAGGTAATCTTATTTTTTGCTAACATACCTTTATGTTTTGAACATTAGAACGCAATTTTAAAACAAACGCAAATGATCCGTGCGTCATGCTAAGCTCCAAACTTGCTATAATCTATTTTATTTCTTACTAATATACGTTTTAACCACCAGATCGCAATTTATTTTAAAACAAAGGCAGATGATCAATTTGTCGTGCCAAGTTGCAAAATAGCCGTAATTTATCTACCAAGTCGAAATGCATTTTACGGTTTCATTTTCATTGTATTTTTTAACGAAATCGCCGTTGCGTCCAGGGCCGGATTTACTTACTTGCCGCCCATGGGCCGCCTGTATTTTACCGCCCCCTTCTCATTTGTTTTGAAACATCAATAAAAACCATCAAGTGAACGTGCCGGAGGGAAAGAGGTACATAATACGCGTTTACTCGCGTTGGACAAATTTTTGCGAAAGCCCTGTCAACACTACTAGCAAAAGTTCATAGAACTTGCACGAAAATTAAGTTCCATAAACCTATCTTTGTGTGGAAAAAACCTTCCATTTATATGAAATGAATGAAAAAAGTATGAAAGAACAAACATAAATGTGGTTTAATAATTTTAACTTCTGTCTTCACGCCGCGCTGACCGCACTGTGTTTGGCGCAATGCGTGAAGTATTCATGCAGTCTTGTAGGCGCTGCAATGAGTGCTATGAGATACATGCCGACCGCCGCGCCGAGCTGAGGGTTTCTCCTTATCATCTCAAGTTCTCGTCATCATTGCTCTCTGCGCCGCGCCGCTCCAGGCCAAATTGCGTGTTCGGTTTCTCTCTTAGTCTTAACTGGACTAATTAAAGGTGCTGTCTATTGTATCATAGAAAGACGAAAAAATTAGATGTATGCTCTCGGGAAATGCAAGATTTTGTCACCATTTTTCGTCTGTAATTTTTCTTCTGAATCCGATTTTTCTTTATAGCTACATGAAAAAAAATTGCAAAATTTGCCGCCATGGGCCACGGCTCATGTGGCCACCCCCTAAATCCGGCCCTGGTTGCGTCTATCTGTTTAGAATGACCCGGAGTTTGTGTGTCATAGTTTTGTTTGTTGGAGAGCAGTGAGAGTTGTTTTCAAAACTTCATATTTTTTCAAAATATGGACGAAGAAAAAAGGAAAAGATTCTCGCGTCTCATTACAGATAACTTGAACAGAAATATAACCGCCAATGTCACTGCTGGTGGACACCACGTTGATGGCGACGGCTTCATGCAACTATACGTGCTTGATGGATGTCCGTATTGCATGTACAAAAACTTGAAGGGGCACTGAAGTTTTGACAGACATTACGAAACTCGTGCAGTATCGTGACACTAGAAAAACACTGCTTTAAATGCAAGGGAACAACAATTTGTTCAGCTCTCTTTACGGCGCGAGGCTCGCCTCGAGAGTGATCCAAAATAAAAGTGAGCATTCGCATAACCTTCCATTCTTCCAATAAGGGAAGTCAATGGAATGGAATGGAAGAGGAAGCTCAGTTAGCAGCACGGTCTATTTCTAGGTGCATTATGACAATTTCTCTCTCTGGAAGTATGTTCAGGTTCCTACTTTATTTTCCCGGGAAACTTATTCATAAAAATTCTTCCTGCATATTTCGATGGCACTTTCTGTAGTTGAACCACGAGGCACCAAAATAATGCGAGCAAAACCGAAAAGGCCATGGAGAACTAGCCACAATTAAAAAAAAGTCAACCTGAAAAGCGTGATAGATACTGAGACGTGGCATTTATGAAAGCCGCCCGGTTTTTTAAAGGTTCCTCGTCCATTAAAACAGTGGTCTTAACAGGAGAAGGCAGCCCAGAGTTTCTGCTGCGGGGCATTGCGCCTTCAATTTTTCATGTATGCAACACGGACATCCATCAAGTACGAATAGTTGTATCAATGCGTTGGGATTAACATAATGATCGTATTTCTCTCGTTTGTAATAGTTGCTCTGTTCCTGGGCTTTGTAATGAGACGCAAGGATCGTTTTCATTGTTGCGCATGCAGAGCAAGGTGTGCATTGAATAAAAGCAAAATGGCTCTCACTACTGATGAATGAAATACAATCATGTACGATTCAGACATTAAACTTTTGAGGCACAGGGTTAGACGTAAGATTTATAAAGTAAAGTGATGCCCTCTGTAACGATGGCAACTTTCTGACTGAGGCACATTTTGTTGAATCCAAAGTCTACTGTGACTTAAATACCTATTTAAGCTCTGACTTTCGAGGGCCAACAGTACTAGGTACTTACAGCATTTTCGATGATTCGGATTGTGAAATTGACTCTCCTACTTTAAAATAGTTTTTCGTTTGAACAACTTTATGACAGCAATTTCATTTTTCTGCAAGCGTATGAGCTGCGGATTTGGAATTATTTTAGAATCGTACATGTTATACCCCAATTTAACTTTTCGCCACCCCGACGCAACTAGAATTTTGCCGCACCCACGGTAGTTTCAGCAGAGGAAAAAGGGATGTATTATGGGAGGTCTTGGGGACCTCTCCAAAATTCTGTCAAAAAATGGTGTTTTAACTTTTTTTTAGCAAGTTTCACCTTCTTAATTGTCAAAGTTTATGTACCCTCGTAACTGTTGATTTACAAAAAAAATATCTAAATAATTACACAATTTTCAGAGCACTATTGTCTCAGTCGCCTTTGTTTTGTAATTTGCTGCCCCTATGCAACTACCTAGGTTGTTTACCCAGTAAATCTGGGTATGGTATGTTTTTTTCCTTTAAGTATTTAGGAACTAAATAAAATTGATTTTGCCTTTCCAAAAATGTGGGCAGTGTTAGGAAATAAAGAGCGTGAAATCAGAACAAATTTTTAAAAAAGAATTCCATTGTTTAATCAACATATTCCTTTTCCTTTCATTTAAACGATGAGAGGTTAATTGGTACAGGTATTAATTAATTTTGGATATCAGAAAATATTCATCACACTCTTCTCTTAGACATTGAATGAACAATAAAGATAACATATTAATGGTGTTACTGGAGAAAACACGAACCTCGATTTTGATGTTTAAAAATTTTTGCTGTTTTATATTGTTGAAATGGAAAACACAATTGCTTCAAATTTTACAGAGTGTTCTTCACACCACGAGGAAAAGTAGCCAAAATTTTCAGGAAATTACATTGTTCAATTTTTCATATAAAAAAATTGGCATGGTGGAAGATTCGCAACGTCATACATTGGGATACGTGTTTTTCCAGCTTTAACATTTGCACACCAATTAAAGTTGTAAGTTTCCAATTACATTTTAATCCCCATGTGGTATTGTGTAAAGTTACTGCATTCTTGAGTGTAGAAACCAAGGATTTTCCATTCAATATCAAGGGTAAATTGAGGCAAAAAATCATGTCTTGAAACGTTTTGGATTGAAAATTGTTACAAAACTCAGACATCTATCTGCTTAACTGCATCAGACTTCTTAAAATCAATTCAAAAGGTTTTAAGACATTTTCGAGCACCAATCAAGGCATGATGCGCCCCATCTTGATGGATCTTAAGTGTTACCAAGTAGGTAAGTATAAATAATCTATTTACACAAAATTAACAAACATTAACAGGTTAAGAGAAGGGGAACTTTAATACTCGTATTCAATGCATCTAGCAGATAGCTCCAATCAAAGTATTAATGGTAAAAATTGATTAAAACTAATACAAGGAGAGAGGGAAAGCAGGTTTCATTTACAAAAACCTATGTACATAAAGTTCAAAGGATAATACCTAAAGGGTATTGATTCATGAAATTCTGCTTGTGCAGTTTAAATTTTTACACACAATGAATTCAGATTAAAAAAAGAAAACTTAATGGACAATGAATGGATTGAATAAATTACAGAGAATTTATTGCCTAAAATCGGCTCCTCACTGTTTACAAAGGCAGAATTTTCTACTTCTTTTCGACAAGAAAAGAAGGAAAACCTGTTGAGCTATTGCAGAATTTTTGTTAGAGATTTTCATGACAGAAAAAGCGTAATAAAAATTTGCAATCTTTCTTTTTGACAGCTATGAAGAGAAAGAAAATAAATTTCCCTGTAAAGCATCAACCTGACTGATAGATTTATGACCATATACATATGTTGGTGCTGGCAAAGTTACAGCACAAACAGATCGGACTAAAATTAGAGCAATTTGTCTATTTATCATGAGTTGATGCTTAAATGCTTTGATTAAAACAATGTAAATAAAGCACATTGAAAGGGTAGGAAAAGGGGGATGGAGGAGGAGCGTTGATGAATATTTCACGAGTTGGTAGACAGCATTAAGACTAACATTACAATATTTTTTCCTTCGTAGAGGAAAGCGAATCGACTTCACAGAGACTGACATTTTAAAAAAAAAAAATTCAGTTGATACACCTGTCCAAAATTTATACCTCTTTCGGATGGTCATCAATGAGCAAGGCTGAGGGCTGATAATTAAAGTTGGTAGATTAATGGCAGGTTACTTTACGGTTAAGTTGACATTAAAGGGTATTATTAGTTAGTTGGATCATGGAGGCTATTTGATGGCTAAATTAAAATTGAATATTACAGCAAGTTTTACCAACGGCCTATGAAAAATTCACAACACAAAATGGTGTTGAAAGATTTAACCAATAGATGTCACTGTTCAATATCAGCTTTGTTTCATCCTGATTTCTTGATAATTAATGAGTTTGAATAATCTGCCTACAGAGTGACCTATTTTGTAAACTACTTAGAGTAGAAATGAGCTCAAGCATGAGGTGTAAATTCTGGTCAGGTTATTCTGAAGAAAAATACAGACATTTTACTTCACAAACATAGAAAGACTACAAAATCTGATAAATGTGTGCAGAGAGTGAGAGAACAAGTGATTTTAAACACTGGTATGGTTAGACTAGAGGGAACTAGACACAAAATGCAGATACCTCCTAATTGAGTACTCTGTGATGAAACTGAATCGCAAACATTTGAGGTCAGAAAAATCTAGTCTTCTTGTTTTAAAAAAGCTGAGATAATATGAGCCTGCATCATTGCGAATTGGCTTCAAAAGTCAATAATTTATGGTGTATTTTTACAAAAAACGGCAATCTCTTTGGGCCTCTTACAGGAATATCTTTGTACACTGAAAAAATGAAAATTGAATGCATTACAACAAACAACCTGAGATATATTACGTATCATATTTATCCAATGGGAAAGTAAAATGTTAATAAGTTCTTTAATGACATTGTTTGAAGAAAATACCAAACTTAGAAAACACCTGCAATTCACAAATCGATTGCTTGATTTTCAGTTTACACACTCTTTGACAGATTTACAATGACGTGGTTAATCAGACAGAGGAAATTTAATTTTAAGAAAATCTGAGGGTTTTTTCTCAAACTTTTTACAGTATTTTTGTAGAAATTTGAAAGCATAGTCATCAAACTTGTGTTGTACTGAAATTTGTTTTCTTGGACTTGGCTTCAAAAATATTTGCCCATCAGATAAAAAATTTTCGCACCAGAGAGATGGACACTGGTGCGATACATAGAGCTCAAGGCATCATAATATGTGATGTGTTTGACTGATGATTTTGAAAAACTAAGTAAAATTATAGCGGCATCTTTTTAGAGAGGGATGCAAGCTCGATTTCCTTTGGACAAGAAGAGTTTAGATTCCCAGATCTCAAAGAGCAAAAAGAACAAAATAAAACTTAACATAGTAGGTCAATAATAAATACTGTACACACAATAATGACAAACATGGTTCCTAATTTACTACGCCACCAAGCTTTGTCACTACTGACATTACACACAAAAATATAAACATTCAAAAAGGGGAAACAATATATAACTTAAATGGCAGTTTAACTAAATACCAGATCAAAACAACAGTCGTCCATTATCAGTGGAAAGCTAAGGATTTCAGCAGTACAACTTGGAGAGGACTTTGAAGTTAATCCAAGGTGAATCGATATACATCTTAAGGTGTGCATCCTTTAATGAGTAACTAATCACAAAAAAAACCGGATGTTTTGTTGGTAAGGAGGAATATCTTGTGAGGTATAAGTATTACACCGTACATTTCGGTCGATAGGTGATAGATGAAATCGAACTGAAATTACTGTTTTCAGTATTTATGAGAAATTTAAGTGATAAATTAATCAAAAATAGATTCACCTTGCTGTGAAGTGAGAGAGAAAATTGGGCGAAATCACAGAAAGAATTGGGAGACCTTCACTATAATTTGATTAACTTGTTCATGTACTCCACTAAATAGAAGAAGAAAAAAAAAAACACCTTTTTGGCCAAAAAATAAGCAAATTGATTGAAATCACAAATTTGAGTTGGCACTTTGAAGCAAACGATTTTCACTGATAACTCAACTAGGTCATGGATGCAGTAAAAAATTCTCAAGGAAATAGTGTCAAGTTTCTCTTGGATTGCACTTAGATAAATTATCTTAGGCAAAGTAGGATGGTGAGCCTAAATGGTAGAGACCAGAAATATTTGTTATCGCCAAAGATATCTCACAGATAACAATGTAGATGACAGTCCACAAACTTAATATTTGCAACGCTAAAAATGCAAGTTCTGATGGTATATTCCTGGTATCTTTAAAAGGTCAATATGTACCTAACAAATAACTGAGTAAAACAAATCAAGGTATAGTAGGAAAAAAATTGATCACAAATGATTCCCTAATGATAAAATAAAAAATACCCTTGGAATAGGGAGACCTATTGGCATCAGTATAATTAATTAAGCTCTCACAACTTATTTCAATAGACTTAACGGTAGCTTCCAAAGTTTAGCCTGCAAGATGATTCTTGCTAGAATACTGTATGAAAAGCTCAGTTTAGGTGTAGTTGACGCTCCAAATTCATAATATTTTAGTCTCTGATACAACTGCACAAAGAATATTGGGGAAATAATAGATTCACACAAAAATGCTGCAACGAATATTGAAAAATGCTTACATCCTAACAGGGGACACATTTTTTATTCCATTGCTTGACATGTTTCACGGCAGAATTAAGATAAAGCTCTTCCGGAATTTTGAAAATTAAAAATGGAAGATTTTGATGATGACAGAGGTTCCAAGTCATGACACAAATTAGTGACATTACATTGGAATTGATGCAAATGGAGGGTCAACTACAAGTTGTACAGTCTAACTAGTAGACATGACAACAAGAATGAAAATAACACTGACAAATAGGTGCTAAAATAATTAAAATATACCTACAGACAACCACACGAGTATATGTACACTGAGGGCATTTCAATTACAGGGCTCAACAAACCCTCAGGCTCCACTAGCCTACGGTTGCATGCGACCCTATGACTTTCCCTCAAATTAACAACAATAAGAGCAAACTCAGGTGCATAAGTGACATAAATTTAACATGATAAAAATACATTTCTACACTTAGTCCAATCAGCAAATTCAAGGCTGTAGGTTTGAATTGATGTAACTTTGAACATTCAATTAAACATTGAAAACCTTTCCTCACACTATGTCTATTGATAGATTTACTGCTGTTCCACATTTTATTTCCTTGATTCTCACACTAGAGTACAGTGAATTCAAATGCTTTCTTTTCTACCTTAACAATTCTCATCAAGATGACCAAAAGAAACGAACTAGAGAATAGAATTGAAAGATCATCATTATAGATACTAACAGTTAGAAATGACAATCATAATGATCAAGTATGTGAAACTTGTATTTGAAGGCTTGGAAATTGTAGTTGAAAAAGAGAGAGATTCATGATCATTCATTATCAATCTAATTTGTTGCATCTGAAATTCTGAATTAAATATTTTATTTTTGGCCGATTAAATGCCTGTAACTGTTCAAGTTTGCACTGATTAAATAATAAAATAAAAGCAAAAAATTGCTTTGAAATTTTGGAAAGTTTGGCTCCTGAGTTTACGAAATTGTTGGACACCAAGAGAGAACTTAAGTCGCACGTACAAATTTAAAGAAAAAAATGAGTTCGTTAATACTTTCATTTTACACACAATTCTTATTTGATTGTAAAAAGGAGATGATTTTTTCTTATCACAAAATATACTTTGTATCACTTGAGATAGTGATTGAAATCAGTATAAATGAAGGTAAAAAAATAAATAAAATGAATGAGGGATGTCCACAGAATTGACCTTAGGACAAAAGAATTTCGGATTAGTCTTCAAACAGAGAGGCGACACCTGATTAGTGCATTTGCATTTAGGAATAAAAAAATATAGACAAAATAGAGACAAGCGAGAATTTCTAAAATGAGATGAATATTAGAGATGACTAACAGCGAATTTATGATACGATACGATTTAATTTTGTAATAGACATGTTGAAGATGTATCACTGAATTGGACTAATCTTCTATCCCAAGAGAGATCGCCATGTAAGCAAAGAAACTTTTTTAGTGATTCATGGATTATCAAAACAATTCTGTTCGGTGGCAAAAGCAGAGAAGTCTTCGCTTGAGAAAGTGACAACTTTTCTGCTTTGGTGCAAGTGCTTCAAAAATATTGAGGAAGATTTGCACTAACAACAACAAAATATTATTAACATCAAAGGCCTTTTCAGACTTCAAATACAATTAATTCCGTTTCAGGGTGATGGTTCACATGGCGTTCTCCCATAGCATAGTAGCGATGGACTTTAAACCAAACTAATTTAGTTAAGAGAAAGATAAAACTTTAAAGGTATTATCACACAAAAAGGGGTTACTTAAACATACAAGATACTTAAAATGTAGCGTCTACAACAAGCGAATAGACTTTTCCTGACAATTATGCCCATTTTTACAAGAGGAGATACTCTCTAATTATCATGCATACAGGAAGGGTTTTGATCCCGATCAATCTTCGCACCTTTAATTATCTGCACAAGGAAAATGCTGTGCTCTGTAGAAGCATTTATCGAGGGAGACAAAAATTACTGTCTCTCTCAAAAATTACTGATAAGGCTACTGAATCATTTGAATTTTTAATTGAGGTCAGACAATGTTGCTGCTGAGTGACCATTTTCTGCAGAATAGCGAATTGGTCTCATGATCCAGGAACTCCCTTTTACCCTTTTCACCTATTAAAATAAATTAACAAATCATAAGAAAATCACGGTCGCAAGATAGTTTCTCATTTAACAAGTAACGTTTTCAACTCGTTGCTGATTTTTTCGTGTGATTTTAAAATAAATGAGAGCAAATGTAATGAGAGAGATTTTGCCAAAATCCTTGAGAATAAATTTAAATTAATTGAAGGAAAATTTTCAAGTAACTCTTGAACGGTTCATTCTTGTAAGAGAAGTAATTATTAAAAAGTTAAAATTGCAGTTTTTATCCCTACTTACCTTAAATACGAACTTGAAATAATTTATAATGCAAAATATCTGATAGTACAGCACACTCATTGAAATAAGTCAGGAAGAGAAAAACCAGAGAAGAGCCCTCTTATTTTACTTAATAGAGAACCAATGCCATTATATATTTCTCTGAGAATTTATGAGAAAGACAGCGGAAACAAATTGAATAAAAAAAAAATTGAGAAATTTGTAAGAAACAAGATGTAACAGGGTGATTTCTGCGATTAAAATATCGTTTACATGATTTAGAAAAAACCAGCAAACCTAAGAAAAAGGTTGTACACCCTTAGGCCCTTTATGTATTGAGTGGAACAATATTAAATAGAACTAAGAGGCTTGAACAATTAAGTTGGATTCAAGCTTGAACTTTCATAATTTACCTGAATAAAATGAATGGCTACCGAGTAAAATAAAGGATTATTCTTTGACTGAGGAACATTTGAAGAGCTCACGCCTATCTCTTGCAGATCTTCTGCCTGCATCTTGACTGGATCCACCTTCGACCCCTTCCAAAGATCTCGACCTGGCAGAGGTTGACTTGGACTTACTTTCTCCACTTTTACTTGCTTCTTGGTCATCATGTTTCGACCTATCTTTATTTTTCCCTTTCCGAGAGCCACTCTTTGATTGGGAGCTTTTTGACTTGGACTTGTGGGTTACGACTGGTGTCGATTCAGGCTCTTGATCATCCTTCGCTGCTGGAGAGTCTTTTTCTTCAGCAATTCTCGGCAACGAGTGAGAACTTGGGTGAAATTCACACTCGCTCCGATCCTCACTTTTTGAAAACTTGCGCTCTGGGCTAGCTGTATTGGCGAAAAGGACACTTGATCTTTCTTCTTCAAAACTGCGAGGTTTTTCTGCCAGTTTTGAGCGAGGAGGCCCTTCATGAGATTTTTCAGAATCTTGACCTTCACATTCTGCCACAGGTCGCAAACTGGTTGGTGGTGACTTGGAGGTGACCGTGACCCTGGGCGCATGCAAAATTACTTTCAAAGCTGGATCGCAAAGGGGTGAGATGGAATTATTTTTGGCCTCAGCACTTCTTGGGTGAAGACGGTCTGGTGAAAGAGCCCTGCGTAGCAGAGGGGAACCAGGCTCCCCATTTTTTGGTCGTCCAAAGCTTTTCTTTGAAGTAACTGGGCCTGGGGAGTACGATTGAGTTTGGTTTGAGCTGCCCGGCTGATGTCCTGGTGGAAAAGCTAGGGGTGAGGGTGACCGAGTAGGGGAGGCAGGTAATGGGGAGGGAGAAGGGGTGCGTGCTAAAGGTGATAGAGGAATGTGTCCGACTGATTTGCGACGGTTGGGCGTGTGAACACCTTTAGAGGCTGAGTGAAGTTTGTGTTTCAGACCGTGGAGAGTGGATGGCCGCTGGAAATGGCCTGAGCCAGATGGAGCTGGAGACGAGGAGGATGAACCAGAGGAAGATTGTGACGATTCCGGCGAGCATGGCGAGTCTGGTGAGGGTGGCGGAGCTCGGCTTGTTGGAGATCGGACCAGCGTTTTTTGAGGTGAGAGAGAGCATGGAATTGTTTCTTGATTGGAGGAGAGTGAACGAGAGAATGTTTGAAAACTACGGTTTGCATACACTGTTGGAATGGATGGAGAGGATGCACTGGCACCAAGCTGAAAAAAAGAATGTTTTTGTTATTCAGCTATTTTTGATAAAAAAACGATCATTAATTAACAGTTATTAACATTGAAGGAAGTAGGTGATGACACAAAGAAAGAATAACTAGAGAAAAATATGATAGTTTAAGGACTGACGCAGCCACCACTATAATATTGGGTATTGAGGTAAAATTAAGTGAACAGAATGAAGAGTCTTTATAAACCAACTCGTTGAATATTGTGCCAGGCCAGGGCCCGACAGCTAATAGCTTAAAAAATAAGCTTTGGTTTTCTTTATCCCCAGGGTTCATTGGAGAGTTGGGAGATATTGTTACATGCTTGCTGTGTCTATAAAAAAATTGGTCAAAATTACAAAAAATTTGATAAGCTCTAGTGCTCTTGTAACATACATGCAAACTCTGAAGCAGGCAACATGCAAAACTTAAATGGTTTTTTACTGATTTTAAATAAAACGTCACTGGAGATCACGAAAATTTTCTTCACAAAAAGGTAAATTACAAAATTTTTCCGATTTAGAGTTACAGGAAGACCAGAATATTTATGTATCTAAGTCTTTTAGGGCGGTAGGACAAATTTTTTGATCAATTTTAAAGACAGAAAGACCAGGACACCTAAAATTATCCAAACTTTTGAGGGTCAATGATGAGAAAAGTTTATTCACCTGTTGCATTTCAGCACTTGCTCTTTTACTGCTGATTTTGCGGAAAAGCGAGGCTTTATGTTGACGACGTTTAGGGTCTGCAGGGAACTCTCCTCGGCGCTGAGATCTTTTCGCTCTTTGATGGGCTTTGCGAGATGCAGCCAGTTTTCCTTGACCTGGTTCTCTTTTACGACCACCAGTACGGATGGATGTGTTTTCTAGTGGAGTTGCTCTTAGCGATGCTTTATCTCGGTTTGTCATGAGCAGCTGTAGGACATGCGTGTGGTATAGGCCTTGGACCGCTTCGCCATTAATATGAGTGATCAAGTCGCCAGGGCGCAATCCAGCCTCAAATGCTGGACTACCTGGATCAACAGCCTGCAACAGGGACAAGAGTTATCATCAAATCTTTTTCATAACAGGGTGTATCAAAAATTAAAAATACAATTAGGTTACTATTCCATTTTTTGCTTTTTGAAGAACTTAGAAGGCATGATCTTAGAATTTTTTGTGATCGCTAGACCCAACAAGAATATTTAATCACACTCCCTTCTTTTTGTTTAAATGATATATGCTGGGTGTGTACGTAAATTGAAGGAGATAATTCTTTCACAATTCTTACCATGGGGGGGGGGGGCACTATTTAGTTGCAATCTCAACTAACACGCTTTAAAATTTATAATGATAGTTATGTAGAAATTTTACAGACTCGTAAATCTAATTGTTTTAAGGCGCAAATAGAAAAGAAATATGACCAGAAAAATTCTTAATGACTGTTTTTACTTTTGAGCAACCTTTAGGATATTGCTTATTATTTGCCATATCTTCATCAGCCCTTACAGAGATCTGATCCATGAAATCGAAAGTTAAGTGATGATTAATCTTACCTTAACTAAATGGTGCATTGTGTAGAAATCTGAGTCACCATAGTACACACGTATCGTGTGGACAGTGAATCCAAATCCTGAGGGTCCCCGACGAATAATGATCGGTGGTTTTAATGAATTGACTAAAGGTGATAACTCCCGACAGGGAGATGTATCTCTAGAACTTGCTGTGCTTGAACCACCAGGAGACTGTATAGGTTGTGGAAATTCATCTGCAAAAACCAAGACACATTTTTTAATGAATATCACATTAAAGGAACTGACAAAAAGCCATTTACTGCAAATGACTGTTTGGTTACAATTCTTATTCTTCGGTACACGTTATGAAAGTTTCACCTTCTAAGGTGCATTTTCTTTGATGTACGTAATTTCATGAAGGTAAATTTGATATATTTTATTTTGTTTCTTTAAATGTAGCCAGCCATGCCAGTCATACTGACCGATATTAATCTTTTATTGCATAGCGTTGCATGAAAGCAACAAATGGTTTTCAGCTTTATTTCTATGCTGAATTATTAAATTGAATCAAAGCAAGAAATAATTTTTGGAGAGCATTATAAGTATAATCTCCTAATTTAAAAAGAAAAAAAGACTACAAAAGCAATTCCAACTGACTCTGTTGTCAAAAAATTACTGTACGTTGTAGATTTTCTCTCCAAAATCAACGATTAGCTCATGCAACAGAGGGTTAAAAGATCTTGCAGGTGCCAAACCAAGGCGCCAATTTCGACCAAGAAACAGTCCCTCCTGTTGTCAGGCTCCCATGAAGCTAGCAGTTGTCACAGTTGTTGCTTAAAGCCCATGATGAGTATCCTTATGTCTCACAACTGGTATGCCCCTGCGGCAGAATGCACTGCTGTACTTTTGCTTTTGTGGGAAGGGGGGAGGGAGGGGAGGAGAAAGGAGGAACACCATGACACCACAGGAAATATGCACGCTAGACATCCTGGCAATCAATGTGTCGAGATTAAAAGATTGTTTAGAAATAAGATTAAAATAATGTTTTTCCCATGTTTGAATAGATACTGTTGTAGTCCTTACCTGAGGGAATCATGAGAGAGAGACCTGAGGCAGAGAAACTTTTTATCACAGCTCTTGATTTTTGCTTGCCTCCAAGAGAGATTGGAGAAACAGCCATCCGCAATAAGTTAGATTTATCGGGAGAATTCTTGCTCTTTTCAAAAACAGCAGATAGATCTTTGTGCATATCAGGTGATGAGACTGATTGTAGTGTGCCTGATGTGTCACTGTTAATGAAGAAAATTAAGATAAAGCATGATTGAAAATAAGAAGAAACAAAAAACAGCATTGAAATAAATTTGACTCAGCTAGTATTTGATAATTTTTAAAAATTCAAATTACTAAAAGTCGCTTGAGACTTAAATCAAATGGTATAGTGATGGACTTTTTTCAAAAAAATTTAGAATGAACTCATTCGATCTAAACACAAATTCACACTTGGAAACTTAGATTAGTTTGTTCTAAAAAAGTCTTGACTTGAAAAGGGAGGAGTTTGTTCTAGTAGAACCTTTCTGTGATAAAAGAGGGGAGGGGAGAATAGGGTGGTAAAAAAACGAAAAATTAATGATCTTTTTAGTTAAAAAATCTAAAATAAATCGAGTCATTTATGAGAAGATTTGTAAGTATTCAAAACTTCTTGATTTTAAACACTACCCCAGTAGCGATCAGGAGGAAAGTTTGAAGGTTGATGTCAAAACACTTACTGAGATTGGTCTTCCTCGACTGAGATTGAGAAACGTGGCAACTCCTCTTTACTATGGAGTCTCCTCTTGCGGTGGATCTGGGGGGAGACATCATCACTATCAGTTTGCGACGACTCTGGTGTGCTTATGGTGAAATTAGCCCGATTCGTCAGAGAATTATCTCCACTTCGAGGACTGTTTTCCAGATCTGAATTATCGTGACCATTACTAGATTCCTGTTGATCTTCCGATTGGCCTGTACAAAAAGAGACAATGATTATTCATGTGCTACAAAAAAGTTCATGGCAATGGTATATAGATTTGTGAGTCACTAATAGTTTTTGGTCAGTAAATTATGAATCAAGAGAATTTAGATGTATCTGATATCTTTTTGTTTCAAATTTAACCCACGTAAAACAATGTATGCTTTTTCACCATTAACAGAAGAGATAGAAAAGAGAACTTGTCTAATGTTGACTTGCTTTTGGATTTATAAAGTTTTATTTAACTGAATTTCCTGCATGTTAGATTACAAAAATTCTTATTTATAGAAGTTAACAAAAATATATGGCTAAGATTGCAATACGATTTAAGATTACTTTTGAGGACTTTCAATCATGACACGAGAGGAAAAAAACAGGAATATATTCTAAATTTTAATGATAAAGGAAAAACAGAAGAAAATATTCATCCATAGTGCTCTTGCAGTCATCAATCAACATTGGAGTAATTATCCTCATCAAATAATATGAATGTAGATGAAACCAATGATAGGCAAGATTCTACCGCTCATCTTTATTGCTCAGGAAATGTACTCTTCTTTATGAGAGACTGAAAATATTGACAGTAAAAAGACATAAGTTTCTCATCTTAATTACCTGAGTCTCCAACAGTAAAAATAGCTTTTTTTACTGAAGAGCCGATAGTATCTTGAGGTGGGACAACTTTCCGATACTGAGGAGAGCAAGAAGAGAAAGATCCCAGCAAAAACGTCTCGTCATTGTCATCGGTATCTTCTCCAAGGTCATGGTTGTAGCGATCCAGCCGCGCTATAACCAGAAAAATGGGGATAATTTGGATTTAATTTTGTTTAAAATGTACTTTAAACTATGTTTAGATTAATTTTAGTGATTCATTGAATTTTTGCAACCGGAAAAGTGCTATGTGTCACGCTTAATTAAATAAAATGTAGACAACTTTTATAAACTTTCTGAATTTTTTCATTGTGAATGGTTGGACAGATGAGACATACGTCTCTTACATGCAATGACTAAAAAGGTTTCTAACTTTAGGTAGAGATCAAAATGGATTAAAAATTTGATCCAAAAAAGTTGGAGCTCATTGAAAAAATGATTTTGATCATAAACTCTTAAAATAGATTAAACACATATTGGGCATTTTATAAAAGCGACTTACAATCAAAATAACTGGTGTCTTCATCATTTTCAAGTTGAGGAACAAACTCTGCTTTTTGACGCAAAAGTGAATTCCAATCAACTCCATAGAAATAGGGATGCTCTTTAACTTCATGCGGTCCTGCGCTACCCAGGCGATTGCGTGCATTTTGCTGCAGAAGTGCTGTAATGATGTCTTTTGCTTCTGCTTGAATGACCCACTCATCATCACTTGGCCATTCAATGTCGTCTGAAAACAAAAGATTTTTGATTAGTAAGAATTAAAAAATATTCAAACATTCATGTTATAAAAAAACCACAAATATCAGTGGCCCAAGTGCAACTGGAAAATAGCTAGTTTTTTTTGAAAAGTAATTAATGTAATTCCTTGATTTTTTCCTCTATTATCAGAATATATTCAGTACAAGTTTCAAGCTATGGAGATGGCTTGGTCCTCTTCGAAAAAATAAGATAATAGTTCAATATTGAATCACTGCAATATAGATACAAGGTTTTGCACTTTGGCTATCAATACAAGCTGCTTCCACAACACTATGTGACAAAACTTAGCCGCCCCAGTCCCCTATTCTCCCGAAGTCCTTGAAACGTTTTAAAGGCTCTTCAAAATGACTCAGATGAATTGGATGAATTTGTGGGGTAAAGTTTCTACTGTGTGATGAAAAAAAGCTATGCCTTACCATTGACAACATGGGCAAATAGTTCTTCCGGAGTATCGCCAAAAAATGGAACGCAACCAACCAGAAACTCATATAAAATAATTCCCATCGACCACCAATCCACAGGCTTGCCATAACCTTGCCTGAAACATAAACAATAACAATATTGAAGATACAAAATGCCAATATGAAATGGAATTCAGTGAAACCCAGATTGTCCGACCACCAGTTATCTAACTACTGATTATCCAACTCATCACTTATCAAATATAATCAATGTTAAGTTTTAGGTCAAAAACAAGCTAGCCAACACAACAAAAACTGGTTTTTTGAGTAAATTGAATACTTATATGGTTTTTTCCCCAATTAAATTATTATGTTTTACAAATATGATAGAAAATTGGCTAGGCTTGTGTTTCATGGTTACAAACAGAACTTAAAATGACATTTTTTCAGTCTGGAGTGATATTTATCCACCTACCTTAAGATTACTTCAGGGGCAATATATTCCGGAGTCCCAAACACCTGCTTGTCAGAGAACTGTCTTGCATCTCGGTCAATGTAAACTTCATACAAGTTTGTAGCCACTAGAAAAACAAATCATTCAGATGTAAATACTAAGTAAATGATGACAAAGATCAATAAAAACTCAGAAATTAAAATTCATAGAATTTAAAAATAGTTTTCTGCAATGAATTTTTGGAGTCAGTCAGAAAAATATCTTGTTCAGAAGTTGATATTCAAACTTCTCAGTATATGAATCATTTTCTACTAAAATTTTGAAAAAGAAAAATAATATTTTTCTGGTTTCGAGTATTGGAATTTAAGGGAGAGAATTAATGAAGAGGGCACTTACATGACATCAATCCCATTTTGCTCAGACCAAAGTCGGTCAATTTGATATGACCAGTTGCAGTGATAAGTAAACTGAAATCAAAAATGAAATATGAAAGTTGAGAACAAGAAATTTCAGAGCTAAAAAGGAGGATTATCATAACTATACGTTCAGATAATAGCAAAAAATACCCTTGGAGCAACAAATGAAAGCCCAATTGCTGAAAGGAACTATGAAGTCTATGAATTAAATGGAAAAGTACTTTTTGACTCTTTTCATTTGCACATAGTTCCTTTTTGCAAAAATATAAATCCAATTCAGAGTTAAGTTTCATATTCTTGAGTGGATGTCACAATAGGTTTAACCAGAATCAGTAACTCTACAACTTGCTCAACTTTATTGCACTGAAAGTTCATGCATGAAAGATTTAAAGACCCTAAAAAAAAGCACGGCAGCAGTGCATGATTTGATAAAGTGCTTATTGTGTCGTTTTAAGGACTCCTCACAATATATCATCCTGGTATGTATATAAGTGACTGAATGAGATAAAAACATGAGTGGTGTATACTTCTGCGAAAAAGTTGGTAATGATAATAATTCTTTGTTAGTAAATTACGTCAGGCTTTTTTCTTAATTTTAGACCCCTCTTCTTGGTCGAGAGCCTTAAAACCCTGTGAAAATGCGTCAATATAACACAGAAAAAACTCTCCTTGGAACTTACTAAGGAAGAACTGAAACAGAGGAGTGAGAACTGGAAAAAAATTGCAATTTTACTGCTTAAGTACTTAAAGATTCTATTATTTTTCAATTTAAGGTATACAGTAAAAACTTACTTGTCTGGTTTTAAATCACGATGAACGATACCATAACTATGCAAATATTCAACTGCTAATACAGTTTCAGCAAAATAAAATCGGGCCATGTCTGGTGGGAGAGGTCCAATATTTTTCACTAATGCTGCACAATCCCCTCCTTCAACATACTCCATCACTAAACATAGATGTTTCTAGAGGGAAAAATACAAACTTTCACATGAGTATGCACAAGATAATATAAAATGCAATACAATTTTGTTGGACATAAACAATTTTGTATGCTAATTATAAAATTGACACTTTTGTGCGCGTACTATTCTCTGATGAAAATAATTCTAGGGAACTTACTGTTTTCTACCCCTGAAACTGAGGTAAGTTTTTCTTTAACATCATCATAACATACACTAACTGAGTCTGGGTTCACTGTGAACTCTTTTGCCCACGTTTCCGACATTAAATTGTTTCTTCAAAATACTGCTAAGGAATGATAACTATTCGTAGGTTTTTTAAGTATACATCAGATGCATGCTCTCTGCTCCATTTGAGTCTTGAGTCCTTTTACACCCAGAGTTGCGCAATCTTGGGTCATGAATATCACAAACGGGCAGGAAAATTATACAAATAGTAACGTTCCTCATCATTATTGGTCAACTCATTCCTGGATTTCCTCTCTCATTCCATTTGTTTTTTATCATGCCCTTAGTTCCAAAGTCCATTCTGATTTATAAACTTTACAACCCTAGTAAATATAATCTTTGTGCCCATTTATGACAACCATGAAACCTAAAATCAGAAATGGATTCTACATTGTGCTACTATGGCTATAAAGGGACTCGATTAGAATTCATTTCATCATAGTGCTACTGGCCAATTACTTAGAACACATTTTGCAATTAGGAACTTCAATTTATGCCTCATTTATGACCAACATAAATGCTAATAGTTCCCGTATGAAGATAGGTAATTTTGTGGATGAAGAAGAAATGAATGCTCCTTAAGGCAAAATTTGGTCCATCCGGTCTACTAAGTTACTGAAAGTTGAACTAAGTAAGTTAGGAGATGCTAGGCTGTGACGATAGGGGTAGAGCACTAAGTCATGAGGAAAGAGCAGACGATATAGTACAGCATTTACAGATAAGATGTCACAAGAGGTGCAACAAATCATGATAGCTTCAAAATTTGAACACAAGACACTTCGAATTCTGAGACATGCGTACATCCAGTGTAGGTTTCAAGAGGTTCTTTCAATATTTTTAGAATTTTATGAGTTTGCTTCAGTCGAGGAAGCAGAATGAAGACACACAGGATAGAGACATGGGCAAATAATGACTCAACCTCAAGTAGTTTAATTGATGAGGAGTCGAGTTTTTTACGACATGAGATGCTCGAGTAGAGAAGATTTTGAAAGAATGAGCTCTCTTGGATATTTCTGGAGTGAGCTGGTTCACTACAGTTTTTTTGGGAGCCTATGATAAATGCTTAAGATACTGGAGAATGTGATGGTTATCAAAGAGGTGCACGCCTATAAATACAGAAATAACCATCCACCCAAAGTTTTAGAGGGAATAATCAATGCATTGATAGGTTTTTCTATCTTGTTTTAGAGAAAGGTCACAAAATAAAGACCAAACATATGCTCAGTAGCTGGTTCCTTGAAAAATTGGGAATGAGAGTTTTTGTTGATGCCCGTTATCACCGTTTGAATTCTCCACCTACAAGATGTAATTTGAAATCCATTAAAGGGCACAATAAGCTAATAAACTGCGATAAGCAAAATCAAGGTATTGAATTCAGGGATCATGGGTGCGGACTCAACTCACCTAAAAATTACTTTTACTGTTTAAAAAGAGCTGGACTGATTTTAATGACTCATAGCCACTTAAAGGATCAAGTGAGTGAATGTTAAAAGCAAATGGATTCTTAAACATTATTATCACTATTGATTTTATACCTTTGTCTCAAAACTGCAGTACATGCTGACGACGAATGGGTTATCTGTAAAACTCATGATGTCCCGCTCTGCAAAGACTTGCTCAATCTGATTCCTGAGCATCAGGTTATTTTTGACAATCTTCTTCATGGCAAATCTTTGCTTTGTCTCTTTGTGCCTCACAAGTGACACTGCGCCATACGCTCCATTTGAGATGAGCTTAATAAAATCAAAGTCATCTTCACACGGTGCCTGAAAGGACAAAATATGAGACCATTAACAAAAGTACAAATTCAATAAATATAAGAGAGCATTCCACCGAACTTCCATTATCTTCTTCCTTGATAAGTCTGCTTGTAGTGGAGAGGGTATTCACTCAAAATATTTGAGATCAGCTTTCCAGTCTTGCTGATTCAATTATCTTCGATATAATGAAAAATCTATAGATTCAATAAAAACATGCTTGTGCTTCATCCAATGTAGTTTTAACTTAATGTCCTCCATTTCCATTTCGGGAGGAGAAATAAAAGAGCAAATATATGGGGACGGCTCAAATATTCTAAAACACCAGTAAAAAATAAGAATATTTCATAGTAGAAGACGTTTGAGCAATTTGATGCATACTTTTTCCACATACATATGTTGAGAGACCAACTTGTAAAATGATTGGCAAGGCTGAAAAAGAACAAAGAGAAGGTTCAGAAATAAATGATGGGTGAGTGTGCCCTTACTTTTGAAAATTTTGATTCCTGCTTTGGGGTGGATGTGCAAGGGGGACAGATGTTCACTCTCTCTAATGAACCAGCACCACAGAGCCCTCCATGCTGTATATCTGAAATGAAGACATTTAACCGTGAAAAGTCAATTTGATTGAATTTAATCAAACAAGCAATAAAATTCGACTGACTATCTTGGAAATCTATCTGATGGAATATCTGATGGAACTTACTTTCGTTATCACTGATTGTGAGCATTTACTCTTACAAATGTCCCAAAATTAATAATAAAAAGAAAACAAATTGGGGAAAATTCCTCTTCTAATAAAAATAAACATAAAAAAGATTTGAAGTTTATTGAAATAAAGGGCATAGGTTAAGGATTTCTGACGATGAGGCATTTTTAATGATATTTAGACAAAAAATGTCTGAATAGTCTCAATTTTTAGATTTGATAAGCAACAAAACAAAAATCATTACTTTCAATAGTTGCCTTTTGGTTCAAGTTTGCCACAATCTGCGATAGCGAGATCAGACATTCTTTGCACCCCTAGAGCACAAGATAAAATATTAAAAGATTTAAGATTCAAAAGATTCTCTCCGAGAGAAATTTCCAAGGGATTTTAACAATTTTAGATCTCAATTTGATGCTCTTTGTTTCAGTGAAGAGAGAAGAATAATGACCTCCTTTCATTAACTCATCAAATTATTCAGTATACTTGGAAAGAGAACAAAAAGAGAATCAAATAAAATAATGGAAAGGGAACAAAAAACTACACATACCTGTGATGGGATCTCGATTGAGGCCTAGCTTACTAATTATGTACTGAGGAATGTCTGCTTTGATTGCTTGGTTAAGTTTTGCGTGTCCTTCCACTTCTTCCAGAAGATGGTAGAATTCTTCCGGATCAAACTCTAGGCATTCAAGTAGCCGCGCCGGGCGGGAGATAATTAGTAAGAGTCTGTTGATTGTGCCAGTTAAAAGCTGGACAGCTTCTTGAGATTTTTCTTTGGTCTATAACAAACAGAAAATATAATAAAAATATATCCTACTTGAAGAAGAGGACACAATATTACTATCAGGGGGTGGCAACTTTTAAACTATCATATAATTTATTTTGATATGACACTTTGCCTCTTCATTCTGAGTACCACTGACCACTTGAAATCTTTTCCCAACTCAAGTGGTTCCACACTAAATGATTAGCTCTGACTTATCACAAAACCTGAGCAGCTCTTCTACTCTTCAATGTACGTCTTCAACTGTGATCACATTCTGAATACGTGAGTGCTTATGTCAAGAATGACAGCCAATGCTGCGGAGATTTAAAAGCAGCACTGCCAACATGTGAGGCTGTGCTGCTATTTCATTGTAGAAACCGTTAATTTTGGGCTAGAAAAATGTAAGTTTTGGTCTTTCAATGAATATTTTCTTCTGAGATATTAATTGCAGTTCAAGGCCAGTCATTCAAAACTCTTAAAAGCCAATTTCAGCTGTGGCAGCTGGACCCTGACTAGAACCTTGCAACACAGAGTTTGATTCCCTGCAACTAGAGTACAACTCCGTTATTCACTGCTTATCGTTGCTTGCTTTAAGTTTGGAGTAATTCTTTAGTATTGAAGATAAGGTATTCATCAAGAACTTCTATAGAGAGTTTAAAAGGCCCGCATGAATGGAAAATTTTCGGTTTGTCTCAGTAATTATTTTTATACCTACGATTGCATTATGTTACACCCTCCATCATCGTTTAACAAGCACCTTATTGGATAATTTCAAACTAAGTAGCTTCTTCAGATTTTGAGTCCTTCCGGACAACAGTATGAGCAAAATCCTTCCAATGAAATTTTTCCCCCTAAACATTGCTTCGCCTGATGATAACAAAATCAACTAGTTTGAGATAAAAATTTGCATCGAAACTGAGGATGACAGGAAATTGAAAAGGGAAAAAAATAATCAAACCATTCTGAAAGATTTTTTGAGTGAAGTTGTCAAGAATCTGGGTTGCAACCAATGCATCATTAGTGAAATTAAAATTTTTAGTAATAAGGAATTCGAAACAATAAGAATTTTTACTAAAATGTTTAATGAAATAATTTCTAAACGAGATATGAAAAAAACACACCCTGACTTCAAAGGCAATGGTCCTAACAAACTCAATTCAGGCGTCCCATTCTCTAGTCTCTGTCATTAAGGACATAAATGCTTTCCAGGGTACATCAAATTAAGAACAATACGGTAGGTATAAAGCAATGCCCACAGAATATGCCTGAATCAAGAGCAGAGAGTAATTCGCATTTTCTTTGCTTTAAAAATGAACTATTCTATTTTATTGTTCAGCATATCATTTTAAGTTTATTGTTAACTAGACTAAATAACTTCATGACTTGGTTCGTCTGGACGATAAATAGAATGAAATTCATTACAGAAAAAACTAGAGGATATCAGGTTGTGCGTATGATTAGAGCCAATAATAAGGACACATTTAACCCCAAATAGTTTCTTTGTGCTTAATGTGCCTAAACAGTGAAAAGAGTAATAAGAAATAGCAAAAGAATAATGTCCTATGGACTAAGACGCAAAATGAAATGATGAAAAAACGAGGTAAGAATTTCTGCAATCAATCTTTACGATAGCACTTTTAAAATCCACAGAATAACACCTGGAGGCACTTTTCAAGACAACAACTTCACAATTTTTACATATAAAAATGCGAATGTGAACACTGAAAAGGTAAAACTTACTTCACATAGTAAAAGAGCCAGATCATAACACTTTTGTTCAATTATTTTAAATAGTTCTATTTTTATAAGACTGTAAACGTGGCAGTAGTCAGTCATCGTTTCTGACTTCATCGCGCACCACTAGTCACACAGACCGAGGGTTAAGTTGCTTCGCTGGAGTACACTCGCATACTGATACTTCTCATCCTAAGCCACGTGTAGATAAATACAGCTCTCAAAGCTCTACCAAGATAAAGTCAAGTTAGTAAAGCTCCCTGATATCCTATACCTCTAGTGACAAGTGCTCCACTTGTGAAAACTTAGTCCGGTAAGGTGATGTTTTCAGGTCAAGGAACGATTTAAGAGACACCTCACGTGTAGTTTGAGAAAAATGCCCAACGTCTTAAGAGATACATTTTGCAAAGGAAAGCAATTTTAGAGGCTGTCGTGAAAAAGAACATTTTTTGTTCTATTTGGGGGGGGAGGGGGGGGGGTTATTATTTAAAAGAACTTAACTTTTTAGAATCTCTACCCAAGAATTTTCCTCTTAGGTTTGAGAAAGTAGAAATGAGCTAGTTTTGTTAAGGGAACAGAAAATCGAAAAAATTACAAGAAAAATTACTAAATGAAAATTATTCTGAAAACCAAGGCATCAATGTAAAGGACAGTATTCAATATATATCTGATTTATCTGAGTGCCTGAAAGCCGTGCAGTGAAACGTGCCAACTTCCAGTGGCCTTCCTTGTGAACAGATTATTCTTCTCTGAATGATTATGTCATACAAAGTCTACAGAGGAAGAAGAAAGTACTTGAAATTGCTACAAATAGCATATTTGCAAAGTTACTTCAAATCTCAAATTTTTGATGACATTGTCATATTTCATTCCTTAATGATTACATTAGCGCAAAGATAGGATACATAAAATCTTGTCAGTAGTTTAGAATTATACTAATTAGAGTGGTCTTCACAAAGATATTGGAAACTTTTACTGGAAATATTATGCAAATTTTATGAACGCCTGTGGGTTCCATAGTAACATTCATTTTTACTTGAGCAAAATTTAAGGAGGCTTATTTGAAAGAAAGGAGGGCAACCTCAATGATTTCTTCTGATTTTAAAATTAACAACTGTAAGATTTCCAGAATTTAGTGTGAGGAAGAAGAATAAATTCAGGAATTGGAAATTCTGAAAAGAAAAGGAAGTAACCAATCGTAGACAGCAACACAATCAGCACTCAATAAGCAAGCATGACGATGGAAATTGATGGCATGAATAATAGTGTCTGGACATGTGAACCCAGCCAATCAGAATTGTCTGCCGTCATTTGTTATCCCCCGTTACAGATTTAAATCAGTCACCAACACTACTTTTATTGAAACAGTCGCTTTTATAAGCTTCTGTAATATCATTAAAAGTGTATATTACTGATATTCCTAGATGAAAACAGTAAAAACGTATTAAGGTATAATTCTTTCTTTAACCCTGAACTTATCACAAGAGAAACTTCAGAATTTTGACTTATACGACAGACATGCTTGAATGACTAAGTTGACTTGACGCCTATGAAGACAGTGCTACCATCTGCGTTTGGTTGCTTCCTTAAAGAACTTTCACTATTCCCTCACAGCAAGTTCTGAAACTCCTAAGGGAGTCAATTTGTCAGGTCATTATTAAAACTCCGTACTTCAGGCAAACTTTCAGTTGTAGAGGACTATAATTTTAGACACGCTGCATTTTGATGTGTGCATTCTTTCGTCCTCCAGTTAAAACAAGGGGCAGTGCTTTTGGGACACATTTTGTACGTAAATTTAACGAATACACATGGTGTCTTAGAATATGCCTGAATAAGTTAGTTAGTTAGTTATTTTATTTATGGACAGTCCGTATAGGATACGGACTGTCTATAAATAAAATAACTGTCTAGCTTAGGGCTATTAAAGTCTTTACAAATAATTTGGAAGATGGGTCAATATAATTAAGTTTTTCATGTAATTAAGGTATAAGTACATACATTTTTCTGACTTTAAAAAATTGATGCTGAATAGAATTTCTTTGAGTTCGATGCTCTCTTAGTATTTAGAGGCTGCATTGATTAGGAACTAAGCTTAGCTTCAACCTCATCATGTTCAAGTGAGAACAAACTGAGAGTGCAGAGAGTGTATGTGACATAGTAGAACAGGAATTCATAGACCAAGGATACTGAACTTTATGAAATAATACACTTCAGCAACAGTGTTTGCAGGTTTGTGAGAGAGCGCTAAAGAAGAAGAAGAAGAAGAAAAGAGAAACGAAATCTAATCCGGCGGCTGTTGGGAGATCACCGCCAGTGAAAAAAAAAGTGTAAATAAGGAATTCATTATTTTTCTTCCAAGGGAGGCAAGCACATCACCGTCTCACATTGATGTCTCAGGAGTGGGCTCGAAGATGATGCTAAAAATAGGTGTAGATAGCAACAGGATCAATAAATAAGACTAAATCCGACCTCTTACGGAGGTGTAATGGGAGAAAAATGTATCATAATTTTATCAGCTTGATAAAAGGGTTAGACATGTTAGTGTGTGTTGTCAAGTTTCCAATTATTCAGTTTGAAGAAGCTGTTAAAGACTTGAGAAGTTAAAGAATTTTTGGTGGAAGTTTTTCAGTCCAATGAATTTCTGATGTCTATACTTCTGGCTATCTTGTTGAAGTTTTGAAAAAATTGATTATGTACTACTCTTTGATGTCCATCATCAGATTACATCTATTGAAAAAATGTGATTCAAACCTTTAATCATCATAATAATATACTCTTAAGTTGTGCACATTTTTTTTCAGAAATTTAAATAGAAGAACATTTGTTTCTGCAAATTTTATTGAGAAGGTTTTGCAATGGAGCCATAAAAGTATATTAGAAAATTTAAGCTCGAATGAGATAATAGGGAACTTTTGCATTTAGTGCAGTTCCACTTCATTTCACATTTGTTCATAATTCATTTAACTCTTTGCACAAAGATGTGTTTGAAAATGTATTGCATCCAGTATTAGTGTTACTTTGAACAAGCCTCAGAGAGTTACTTGTGTAAAAGCATTTTTCAAAGGAGGGAATGGGAATGAGACCGATCTCCTAAGTTGCATGTAACCCACCTACTATTCAAAAAAATTAAAGCCAGCTGGCAACACTTAAAAGCCTCTTTAAATTCTGAGCAGACAAGGAGACACTAGATGTGTACTTAAAGACTATGAGAAGCACTGGGACAATTGAAAGACACATGAAGAACCGAGTGAGAATCACAGTCACAGCATATGCAGAGTGAAAACTTGATGCATTGACGTAAAAGGTGCTCTTGATTAGAGTGTCTTCCAATGAACATAATAGCACTGAATTTGAAGTCTGGGTGTGGAAGTGTCTGTTCGTTGACAGTAGCTAGAATTAGATAACCTCAATAAATCTTAAATTTTGGACTTGACTCTCATGAATTATGTACCGTTGAAGGTTCAACAATTCCTCAGACAGTGGACTGTTATTAAAGTCCAAACTGTCAAAGAGGACTCAAAGTGTTAAAGGATGTATGAAAACGAATTTCACTCCTTTAAATGAGTCCTTGAAACACTATTTTAAAAGAATACAAAATTAGAACATGCTTGGTGCAACTGAAATACACTAAATTAACAAGTTTTGATGTTTCAAAGGCATAAGAATTGCACATTTTGAGAATTGATGGTGCATAAGAACGAACTTCTGCTTCTGCTGATACTAATAATTTGATGTTCCTTAGCACCCCTGATCACACTATGATAAATTTCTAAGTTAAGAGCTAGTTATGGGTTGAAAAATGCAAGAAAAGAAAGCAAGGGATGGAATTACTATTCAAAAGAGCTTTAACCAACCTTTTTCTTTACTTTGAGGGGAGCCATTATGGTTGAATAAATAAATAAAATCTCACTCAAATAAGCAAAAGATTTTTGATGGTTCTGTCTAGGCAGTCCTACATAGCCTACTAATCTTTTTTATTATCATGATAGCTTTCTGCTTCTTTCTTACAAGAGAGATTGATGAGACACATTCAAGGGCTAGTGCGCTAAATACCATAAAGAATTAACTTTTCGGATTTAAAAGTGCTCTGTAAGTGGAGAAAGTACGATAACAACTTGGATTCAAATCACAGTTAATTCTGTTTCATGATATGTCCCAATTAAATTTTAGACTTTCACTGTCATTTCAGAGAAAAATACTGTGAGAAAATTACCATTGCAAGATTTCCATTCACAGAAATATTTCATCTGAAGTAAATAATTAATCATGGCCCAATTGATACTGAGGGGGGAAAAGCCTAGCAAAAAAGGGGACTTTCTGAAGTAAATAATTAATCATGGCCCAATTGATACTGAGGGGGGAAAAGCCTAGCAAAAAAGGGGATTTTGTTGTTGTTCTTCAGGCCCTTGAAATCAAGTTCCAATTTCACTCATTCGGGTAACTTGATATTTCAGACCGTACAGATGGATCAATATTTTAAATTAAATGAGGGGATTGGGGCAAAGTTCCCCATTTTAACACATTTGATAGAAGTGCACAAGTTGTCTCCAAAGTAATGCAATGATTGCAGTTCTGCACAAAAACGGGAAAAGCTACCCACAGTCAGTTTAAACTGAAATATAGATGAGAAAATTATGTTTCTAACCAGGCCTATTTCTGTTACATGTTAAAAAATTCACAAGAAGCATTCTAATTATTATGATGCTGTTGATGCTTCGCTCAAACAATAAACGAAAGAGTATTTTTCCCATGCAAATATTTTATTTCAATTCCAAATTCATCTGTTTTGAATGAATTTATGGTGCCTTGTCAATGGTAAAAACTTTCAGATTATTTCCTTTGGATAGAGGAAGTTCCTCATTTGAAACTACAAGTGATAGCTGGAGGAAAATACTTCAAGTTGCATGAGAGATGTTTTTGTTTGATTTGGCCGAAGAGAAGCCACCTGTCACGTTGAAAGGTGCCGATACCTGTCTCTTAGTCTATTGAGACGCATTTTAAGTAAAACAAAGTGAAGTGGTCTGGCTCTTGTTTACAGATTGATGTATATGCTTTCTGTTTCTGCTATGATCTAGTATTTATTTACATTTAGCTTCTTGTCAATTATATTTTCATAAAAAATGAGAAAAAAATCAAAGTGCAAGTCATGGCAGAGAGTAGAAAATGGCAGCTTCCTGAAACATTTACGCATGATCTCGAGCATTGTCAGCCAAGTTCAGAGAATTGTTCAAGATGAGCATACATTTTTCTTACAAAAGCTTGCTGGTTATACTTAACCAGTGAGAGTTCTTGCTAGCTGGCAACAATGTTTTGCGTCCATTTAAATGCATACGAAAGAATCAAGTCTAGGTGAGGCTGCTTAACGTAGACTTGATGTTTACCTATAATGGATTTAAATGGAGGAAAAACAATGCTGGAAACTTTCAAAAATACAGTGTTGATCTGATTGAAGTACTATTAAGATATTGAGAAAAAACTTACTTCATTTAATAATCTTTCCAGACTTTCTGACATTTCATAGAAGTATCTCCTAGTGATGAGTTTTTCTTGACTCTTTTTCAAGCAATCCCTGGCAATTTCTACTATTTGATGGTGAACGAAACGCAAAATTGGAGCGGTATCTAGAGAAGCTTCACTCAAATTTCCTTGCAGTACTGATTGCGACTCATCAATGAATTTAACCAACTTTTCTTCCATCTGATGCGTTGCCTGAAGAGACATTGAAAATTTTATAGAATATTAGAGGAATAATTAAAGAAGATTTATAGAAATGTAATATTATATGTTATAATATTAAAGAATACCAATACACGTCATATTTTCGAAAAGCCTGTAAGAATTTGAGGAGACATGAATAATTGTTAGCATGGTCTTAGCTTAATTTGTACAGCCTGTACCTTTGGGATGATAGGTTTTTGAACCAGCATAGTCACTAGTGACTACAAAAAGTCTACTCTGTTACGGGTAGTGCATTGACTACCTATAGTACTGCTGAGGGCACTAATGACAAATTTGACAATTGAATTGTTTCTTATGCCTGACTACATAAAGTATCCTTGCACTTGGTACTGTCCACGGCTGTGTAGACACAGTGGATTGGGCAGCGAGCTTTTTATTGTTAATGAGACTAAAATGATTAATTCAGTCTAAAATTGGCTGCATGACAGCAGTTTGAATGCTTCAAAGCCTAAAAGCAGCAACATAGTTTTCGTTGACTGTACAGCAATCTGCTCAAGGGCAAGACCCAGAAGTTTACTGACTAGAAATTGTAAAAATAGTGGCAGGAAATGTAATTTTGAAGAGAGCAAGTGCACTAATCGCAATGAGAAAGGCTCACATTAAATGCTCCTTTATGGGAAGGATTTCTTCACAATCTATGATACTACTATGAAAATTCTTTGAAAAATTAATGTTACCTTCGGGAATCTTTCTTTGTACATGGTGTTCATCAGAATAACATCACTGTCCATCACAGGAGAACGGCTTGGACTACTGCTCGTAAAAATAGAAAATTTATTACAATTGGGTACTTGTGAACATAAATGAAAGCAAAAAAGAAAAAAACAGTAAACTGACTCCAACACCTTAGTGATAGAGAGAGGCACACACAGTGAGAGCTAGGAGTGGCAAAAAATGTGTAGTGTTCAGGACTTGCTCCTGGTGGTCCCTTTAATATTCAATTACAAAAATGGTAGACAAAATTTCTGTGAAAATTAACAGCTTGTAACTAACATTCACCCTTGGAATTTTTGAAAAGGGAATATATTAACACTCTAATTCTCTTGAAAGGAAATTTTCGACAAGAGTCAAGTATTTTCGAGAACTGTCTTTTGAACATTTTCAAATGTAAATTATGTGCGGTGTCACTCAATATATTATAAAGGTGAATAAATACCAATTAAAGAGAGAGAGAGAGGGGGGGGGGGCAGTCACTTCAATTGACTTGTTTAAAAATATGAAATGATCTCCTTGTATCTGCACCTCTCACTTCAACTTCTCAGCAATTTTGTAAATGATTCACGTCAGAGTGGATAATTGCAAACTGCACAACCCTGAATTTTAATTTGTTCATGCATTCTTGAGGGGAACTGAGCCATTATTTATTTGCAGAAACGACTTGTAAGCTGTGTATAGTTGCGCTGATCACTTAACTTTGGGCAGAATTAATATCAGATCAAGCAGACACAAATGCAATTTATTTCCATGAAAAATGAGTAAAAATATGGAACATTACTTATTGGAAATTCAATGTCAGTGGGGTCTCCAATTTTTTTAAGTACAAATGATACACCAAGCAGAGCAATCCAAACAGCACTGCAAAGCTCATACGTTGTTTTTACAGGAAATAGCTTAATATTCTTATCTTACAGTGAAATTTCAAGTGTATTCAAGTGCATTTTATTAGACTTTAAGGATTTTCAAGTGCAAAAAAGGATGAAAAAGAATTCAAGTATTCTCAAGTATGCATGAACCATGGATATTGCAGTGAGAATCTCGCTGAAAACTGAGTCCATATGTAGAAGTCTAGATGTTGTAATGAATTGGAAAGTTGATGCCAATTGCCACTTTGTATCATACAAACACTGTATGACTAGATGCAGACTTTTGAGTTTTCAGTCATTTTTGATCAATCTCATTGGAGGATACCTAATCAAAGGAAATAAATCTTGACATAACTAGATTTGTATGACACTGCATTCATGATCATCTACCATTAAAGTGGCAGGGTTTACATATCAGGTTTAGACCGTGTCATGTTATTTATATAAAGTTGGATGAAGTCCTAATATTAACAGCTTGATTCTTCATATCAAGTTCTTTCTTAAAATTAGTTTTCTGTGCTTGGGTGGATACCATTCACATTTAATTACCTTAAACTCCTGGATCTTGGTCTGCTAAACGGTGATCTGTGACCATAGTCATCATCAACACTGGGATTGCTTTCATTTGAGGAAAAATGTCGTGATAAAAGTCGTAACTCATCATTGGTTGGAGCACTAGGGAGTTGGTGCAGTCTTTCTATACTTGAACATTGAGACTAGAAAAAAAAAATGTTGTCAATGATTAGGAGAGAAGACAATTTCTGTAGGCAATCTTTGTACATGTCATCATAGTAGAATTCACATATAATGGAATACATATTTTTTCTTGAAAATAGTGTTACCAACTAGCTGTGCAATTCATTTTCTCCAATAGAATAGCATTAAGGGATCTCGGAGCACGCCTTTGATGCAACAAGAAATGTTTTAACGCACATCAGTGGAACAGAGGTTTAATATCGCTTTCTGTGATGAGTTTGCTTTCAGAGATCCAAAAAACAATCAAAATTTTTCTGACAATACGAGCTTGTAAACACTTCAGAAAATTTTAGATATAGAAAATTCTTGGCCTTCCGGTTTAAAAATCCCATTTTCCCTAGAAATTTAAACGTGATGGCCTTTCTACAACTCTGTATTGAAAATTTGCCACAGTTTTGTGATAAATACACAATTTCTACTGTGGTTCTGCAAGGACATGCAATTTTGTCCACCATCTCATATTTAAAACTTGTTTTCAGGGCTAACTTATTTTTGCACTGACCAATATTAACTCACCCAGCTGCATGGTCGAGAAGTTTTGGCATTCCCCCAATTCCTCACTCAATATTTGACTTCAACAATTTCAAAAATACTGAATGTAATAGATTAATTTGCTTGGAGTTGATTTTCAATGACAAAAAAGTGTAATTGAAACAAAAATGAGCCAAAAAAAATTTAGACACAAAAAAAATAAGAAGAAAATACTAATAACTGTACAGAATAGCAAAAGGAGAGACTTGTTAGTTCTAGAAAACTTACAGAGACACTGGAGCTACCCGGAGTTGTACCATAGCCTGATGATGGTAGGGAGGCCACTGACCACCGACGACCATCGGCTTTGCAATCACTACTTAGATGATTATAAACTCTGCGCAAATAAAGCATACAGTAGAATTAAAGACGTCTTTGGAAAAAAAAAATTAAATTATTGAAAGTAATAAAAAAAAAATTATAGATTAGACAAATAATTGAATGTTGATCAGAAGAAGTTAATTTTTTTTACCATCCATAATAAGAATGGTGAAATAATGTGTTTAGCAAGCTTGTTGATAAGGGAAACGGAGGTTAGTGGACAGTTCCTTTGATTGCCATTTATTTTCTATTTTTATACGATAAACTTTCTAAGCTTTAGATATGACGTCTCATTTTTAGAGCCACAAGTGCATTAATCAAACCATGAATTGCGACAAAAAGAAACTTCATCATTGGGAAACAAATCTAGATGTCCTAGTGATCTAGATGAAACAACTTATTTCAAAACAAAATATTTACATCTACTGGCTAGAGGAAATTGGAATATTTTTTTTTTCACTTTTAAATTTTATAAGTTTAACAAGTAATACATACCTTTTAACAGGAACAAAAGGAAAATGCAATGAGGGGGAGACTTTTGGACTTTCCAGAGGACTTCCTGTTGATCAAAAACAAAATGTTAAAATTAATTTCTTTGCAGCAGGGGGCAGAGGGTTTAAAAAGCTATTAAAAATAGATGCAAGATGAACAATATAAAAAGACCTTCAGGCACTATGTTGCTTCTCAAACTGTCCAATTTTTCCAGAAAAACTGATGAACAGAATCACCTGAAAATTTGTCTTTTTATTTCTATTTCATAGAGATAAATTTCTTAAATTTTCATGAAAGTATACGCTGAAGTTTTCAAGAAAAAAATAAAAAAAATGTTAAGGTGTTCCTGCTATGATCGCGCGTCTAAACGTAAATGGCGATTGTGATTAGGCTGGAGAGTGAGAGTATCTTTATCAACTAATGACATGCTCTGAGTGAGCTAGGCATTGGGTATTATTCCTCAGTATGTGAATGAGCTGCTTTCGAGATATGCTTCATATTATGTGTTTTTATTACAATTCTAATTTTCTAAGAATAGCTACTAAAACCAAATTTTTTTGAAAAGTTGCTTAAATAAGAAAAATTTCTGATAGTATAAGCAGGCAGATAGAAAGAGAAAGAATAATATTAGTAATTTGGTTTTGACAAAGGCCTAGGTATGATTCATAGGTTAAAACATACCTCAAATTCCAAAGCTTGATTGCTTGAAAGCTCAAAAATTGATTGCTGATAAACAATGGCTAACATAAACTCCTTCAAATTATGAAACCAGAATAGAATAAAATTGAGTTATTTTTCAAACAGCATTGAGGTATTTGCATTATATTTTTAAGGAATTTCTTTCTCAGAATAACGTAGCAAAGGGCTCTTCATCAAGCAGTAGATATATTTGATGAAAAGCAAAAATAAATATCCCTCTTGCGATGAATTTCAAAGGTTAAGTTAACGTTTGTAAACTTTTTGAGAGCTTATTTTAGAGTAAACTAACCTAACATGGGTGAATGACAACGAGGCAATGTTGGTGATGTGTTGGCTATGAAACTTTTCCGATGATTTACTCGGCTACTTCTCCTGCCACCAATATTCAGCTCTTTCTGTAATAGAATAATCATTAAAAAACACACATTAATATGACATGAATATGAAATGATTTAAATATGCATTTTGAATTCAGAGAGAGTATTTAAAATGAACCAAACTAAATGAACTAGAGTATTTCATCAACTTCACAAGGGAACAAGAAAGTAATCCTTATACATACGTGATTCAAAAAGAACATGACAAGAACACTCCTAGAACCTTGATCCCATGAGCTGCAATTATTATAAATTTGCTTAAGGCACCCCCCTCCCAAAAAGAAAAAAATAAAAAAAATTTAGGTACATACCTACTTATTAAATTTTATAAATCTTACAAATGATAATACATTTTTTCATTATCGCCAAGAGTTTGACAAAGGGTGGCTGTTAAAAACATTAACACTGTTATGCATCCTGGAGCAATTTTGAAACTGAAAAAAACCCTCTTAACCCTGGCATCAAGATACAGAGACTTAAATATTTAAAAACCTAAAACTTGTTTACATTTTACATGAACTACCAGTCACAGTCTAGGACCAGTCTGCCACTTCTCTAGAGGCTTCCTGCCTAAATAATTGCCCCTGACTGGGAGGGAAGCCGTTAATGAAGGGGACAGGGGGTCTTTCCAAATGTGTCTGGCAGTCAATTAAATAAAAGTAGATCTAAGTCTTCATTTGACAAGGTTGAGCTCATGCTAAAATGGCAGTTGCTGACCATTTCTTACTAAGTGTTTTTTTTTTATAAACACATTACCATTGTAGACTGTATTGTACTCTTGGAGATTTTCAACATTTAATTTTATTACTTCATCTAAAGTTAAAGAACTTTACTTACTTGTAACTAGAATTGGATGATTAGTTTTATGGTGCTCTCAATGTTCCTACAATTTGTAACTTTCATCAATTTATCTTGTGTTGCAAAAATAAAGAGACTGATTTTAGTCACGAAAAAATTCTGTGCTATGATAGGGGCTGTTGAAATAATGCTGGATTTACACAGTTTAAGGAAACAACGTAAGAGAATGATAAAAATAAAGGAGTATTTGAATCAAAATTTTAGTGTTTTTCTGTTAGGTTTCTCCCCCTCTCACTCTCTCTTTGAACGTTCTTCTTTGAGAGCCCTGTGACAGATGACCTTCCATTCTCTCGCATTTGAAAATATTTCAAAGGAGTTTGAAAAAACCATGATGGGATTAGACACAAGAAACAATTGAAATAAAATTTTAAAATATCAGCACTGCCTTACATGCTGTACCCGCTTCTGAGAGCTGTTGCTCCATCTTGAGTTGTTTTCATCAAACGCCAACTAAGTTGGCTGAAACTGGATGAGGACAGAGCTCCAAAGTGCTCATCAGAAGATGATAAAAAGCGGAGGAGGGTGGCAAGATTTTATAATTTTATTTCCACTAGGTAAGTAGTATGTCTGTCATTCATCAAGAGCTTCCTTAGAATTTGGACACAGATGTGCAAAACGCTACTTACCATCTGATAAGATAAAGAAGGAGCTGACTGACCCAGTGTGGAGTTCCTCATCAACACCAAATTCGACATTTCTGAAAAGAGAAAAAATTTAAAAAAATCAAGACATTTTTCTTTAATATTTCATTTATTAGGCCTTAAAATGAAAGATAAAATTTACAGGTATCTAATCATGCTTTCTGACACTTCAAGTTCATCACAGTCAAAGGCAATCTTGTTCATAAAAAATTGAAAGTCTGAAAATAGATTATAAGAAAAATTTGATTCACACACTGCTTTTATATCCCCGCTATTCTTCTGAAAAATAATATTTTTTCATAAAAGGAGGTAGCCTTCTTCACTTGTCATGACCGGAACACTCTAAAAATTTGAGCAGTATAATGAAACAATTTTAAAATAGCATTTGAAAGTTGTGACACAGTTAGTATCAAATGATGGTGCTTTTGTTTTCAATGTGGGCAAAGAGCCAGAAGCTCTAATACTCTCCCACAAATAACGTATCTATGCTGTATTTTGCATACTCAGTGGACCTTCTTGAGAGCATTCAGCCAAACTAGCAAACCTGATGTATAAACTTAACCTGATTTAAAATGCAAGTACCTACTTCGGTATCTGAATTGCTTCTTAAAAACAAAGCCTTTAAATTATATGCTGAAATTAAAACACTTGCCCCACCTCTAAATCAGTGAGTAAGAAAATATCACTAATTAACCTACTTCAGTATCATCAAAAAACTGGAAAATTATTTTCTACCAAAAAACAGTTTCCTTTCTTAATCCAAAAATTTTAACAGAGAAAGTGGTAAAAGAATCTCAGATTATTATAAAAAAAAAGCTTCTGAGCAATGGAATTTTAAAAAGTTGAAGATTTTACAGTTCAAAAGAACCTAGTTCTCAAAGTTTACTGATACATTTAGATAAATGTTGCTCATGAGGGTGATAGATGGACCATAACAGAAAAGACAAACTTCAGAGCTAATAATATAACTGATTCATTTCAGTGGGTAACAGGTAGATATTGTAATAAACTGGCACATACATTATCTACAAGACAGAAACTGGGCCGCCCCAAGGATCTTTGGACTTTAAAAAAGGTAAGTGCATGAATCATAAAATATTGTTAATTCCTCATAACTAGCTGTTACATTTGACATATCTGATTCTCAAAAGAATGAATAAATGCCAAAGCAAAGAGTATCTTGGCTTATCACAATTCCAACAAAGGTGACAAGACAGAGAAGTAGGATGTTGACAAGTAAACAGCATGATCAGATAGGACTAGGTGCAGAGGGAAAAGAAAAATATTTGGCTTGATGTATCATCAAAATTAGTTTGTGATCTGCGACAACAATTGTTCACAACCCAACCTCACACACCAAGAGCCATCTCAAAAATATCAAGGAGGTAGGGCTTGTCGCTATAGGGAATTTAAAAAAATAAAAAGAGGATTTTAAAGGAGAAACCTTTAAAAGATATGTAAAGATGATGTGCACTTACAGCTGCATGCAAACAGCATGTTTTTTTTTGCAAAAGAGCTTTCATTCGAAAATGAGGAGAAAAAATTAAGAATCATCACCGGGCATCTGGAGGAAAAAGGGGATTTTAAAAATGGGAAAGACATGAACTTATAGTGATGTCTGCTTTTAAAATACAGCACAGAAAAATGGGAAGTAAGATTTAAAACAGATGCATAAGAGTCAATTAGAACTAAGTTCATCCATAAGCTTAAATGGGTGGCGCTTAGCAAAACGGTAAGTACCAGTGTCCCTGACAAAAGGTTCTGCTCTTTAAAAGTGGTAGACAGGGTACCACATCTTCTTCACAATAATTTTTCCTACATTAAATTGATAGTTTTTACCTCTTTTTGATGGAGGTTTTTCAGGTCGCTCATCCAAATCCGACAGGCGTCGTTCGGAGGGCTCCATGGTCTGGACCCGGGCTCTTTCGAGTGGCTTGCCAAGATTACTCATCATAAAACGTTATTGATAGCTTTCTTTGATGCTTCAAGGAAAGGCATGGTTTCAGGTTTCAAGATCCACATCTTCATACATAGCATTTTCAGTTGCTGGAAAAAATGTAAAATTGGGGTAAGTAATTTGTAAAATTCAAGGGATCAAGAGTTCCAACTCAACTGAAAGAATTGCAAGATCTAAGAGTTCATAATTCTTGACAAAGTTTGCCATTCTAACAAATATACTGCACACAGGTACAGAAAATTTGATTAAAACAGAATTGGTAATAGTGGTACCTGAACAAAAAGACAAATGGATATACCTAAAACAGAGGAATCTTTCAGACCAGAGAGAATTATTTGTGATATTACAAAGTCAAGAGCACCAATTACGATGAATAGGTTAGGGTGATTTGCCACGGTTTCTGGCGTGGTCAAACTGGCAAGGGATATATAGCATCGACTATGTCAAAAATCTTGGCAGATATTGAATTTTTAGCCAAAAAAAGGACGATGACCTCTGCACATAAACCTTGCATTCGATACAGTTATCAATTTCTGTATTGAATGCGAGGTTTTTTTTCCAAACAGAATTCTGCTTTCATTACTTTCTAAGTTCTGCTAATTTTTTTAGTTCGAATGGTTCTTTACACTCATAAGGTTGTTGTCCATTATGTGACTAAAAATTCGATATCTGCCAATATTTTTAACATACTTATTCAATGCGATATATCGCCGCCAATTCAGCCACGTCAGAAACCTTGACGAATCACCTTAAGAGAAGGGTTATAATAGAGGGGCTACTGATAGAATTTCTGTACATTATTTAACTTAAATGATGTTAACTCTGGCCAGCTTAAACAGAAGTAAGTTGTACATTTATTGATTACATGGTTAGTAGACCTAAGCACTGATCAAAAATCTATCAAAACGAGTACCAAAGAGAGGAAAGTGAAATAAGTAATGAAGGTGTTCAGTGTAACTTATGCACAATAATTTTTAATCATAACTCTTTCTATAGTAGAACAGTAGGAACGGCTAAAAAGTTATAGATAATGCGAACACATGCATGGTTATGATAAGCAACTGATAGTGGCCATGGTGGTTTGGTGCTGAATCTCTTGCTCACTTGATTAACTTCGATTACCACTGCAGTATTTTGATAGCCATCATTATTAGGGTCAAAAGAAACACAGTGATAAAGTCGTGGAGGAAATGTACCTCTGCATGATCTAATGAGGACATTTTTCGATATTAGTTAAATCGCTGGTTTCAAATTCGTAGATTGAGATCATCATTTGATTCAATGGTTGAAAGCTGAAGCCTCTCGGGCACGAATTGGTTTCAATTAAGAATGGTAGGTTTTAAAGGATGAAAAAAGGGTGTAAGAAAAAAGTCAGATTGGTCGACTCAACTGTAACAGAGGGCAATGACAGCTCCTAGTTTGTGGAATGAATCACAATATAGGTCAGCCTGTTGGGATAGAATTATCTGCTTGAATTCTCTCAGGAAAAATATTAGTAGTTTATATGCTCTAAGAGGGCACAAAATAAAGTTGAAGAGAAAGAGTGGTTAAAAATTTAAAAATTATGAATGAATCATAAGGTATTCAGGTCTGAGTCATAAAGGTGGATGACATGCACCTGAGGTGATGAGAACAGGTAAGTCCATCACCAAAATTGGTCAAGCACAAACTAGATTTGGCTGCTGAGCTGGACTCAAGGCTGCTATGCTATGTTTAGTTGTTTAGAATTAGAGGTGCATGAGAAATAAATGAAACACATTTCAGAAATAAGAGGATGTCAATGAAGAAATTAATTACTTACTCGAAATCAATGGTGAGAGAGACCAAACAGGGGGGGCTGATCACAGACAGAGAGCATTGAGGGAGGTAAAAACTACTCTAATTCGAAGGAAAATATTGTAAACTTGTAGGCATAGCCATCAAGAGGCTAACACCTTGAATTCCAGAAATTTAAAACCCTAAAAAGGGATGGATAAATATAAAAAGCCATGAAAATTATCCTCGAAAATCACAGCATCTATGTAATCACTAACCAAACCGCGGACCTCAATATAAACACGGGCATAAAAACATCAGACATCGAGGAGGCGGAGGAGGTCTATTTTTTTTGAACTGCTAGTAGCGCCTATTATGAAAATGACCTAGAAAAATAGGTAAGCGGGGAGAGAGGGGTCGCGGATAAAAGAGTGAGAGAGAAAGCTGCAGGACTCTGCACAGCTAAAAGAGCAGGATGGAAGATGTGAGGTGTAATCGAATGAATGGAAACGATTTCATTCAGGGACTCACGCAATCTTTTTATTTCTATAATTGATTTTTTGCTATTTCGCGTGCTTTTCCGAATCCTTAATGGATATGGTACGTTATGATATGAACTCGATTATGTGCCTACACGGAAATAATATGTCAAGTATCTCAATTGCAACGTTTCAACATTTACGGACAAGTGTGAAATTCAAAAAGAAAAACGATTGATATATTATTAGTTGGATTCAGATTTTCTCTATTTTATTATTTACCAGTCCATACCTATGCGCCTCCTAAAATTGTGTTTCTATAATAAATACGGCATGCTCCCAAATTTTGAAACGTCGCCAGGGTAAAAGTCAGATATTATGCTCGATTATAGGTAGGTATGAAAGAAAGCCATTCTTAGTAGCCAAATTCCACTAAAAATACTGATTGAGTTGAGATACGCAAAAAATCCCTGGTAAAAATTGGAGATAGGAGCTGCGTTTCAAAATACCGTAGGAGTTCTTATGGCCGACTGAAGAGGCGATAGAAAATCATATAGCTGGCTGTAGAAAGTGGAAAAAAATCTTACGGCCGGGCTACACGAAGCGATAAAAAATTATACAGCCGGGTTCCTATCGCCGGGCTTTACACTTTATCGCCTGGCAGTTGCTTTTTCGCCATCGGCTATAAAAGGCTATAAGAAATTGTGTAGAAATTCGTGTGCTTTGAAGGTAAATCCTTAAGTTTATACGGAATCACCTTAATATTTACAAAACTCACATTATATTTTCCTTTACTACACATTTTTTTTCATCAATTAAAATGAGTTTAATCCATACAGAGTGTGCAAACATTGCAAAGTCATGAGTTGAAAAACGCTGACTTCACGAGATTAAATATTAGCGCCTAACACAAAGCGGAGCGGCGGTGCATTGGCGCCTACAAACCTAACAGAGATACTTCACGCATTGCGCAATGCGTGAAGTATCCCCGTTAGGTTTGTAGGCGCCAGTGCGCGTTTTACGCTGGCTGCCCGCCCGCCGCGCCGTTCCGCGGCGCAGCGTTCCACGGCGCTTGAAGCAACTATTTCACACCAGAGGTATTGCACAGTATCATACGAAATTGAAGGCACTCCAACATATTAGGAAATGGCAGGCATCTTTCAAAAGTACGGAGCTTTCCTCGCAAAATAAATCAAGATACTATGGCCCAAAAAGAGAGCGGTAGTCCAAAAATTCACCAGGTCCTAGCATCCGTAGTAGTAACGTTTAGCATACACTTTATCGCCGGGCTGTTGCTTAATCGCCATCGGCTGTAAAAGGCCATAAGAAATTGTGTTGCCGCCTATAGAAGCTATTGGAAATCTTACAGCCGGCTGTAGGTCTATGGTATTTTGGAACACAGATTCTACTGCCAATTTTTACCAGGGATATTTTCTCTTTGATATCTAAAACGATTACATGTTGGTGATCGAAATAGATAGTGACGCCTCATTAACGTGGTATCAACATGGTCTCAGCACGGAATTACATATACTTAACAAGTAAGCAGTAACATGGGACAATCTGGTAACTTGAAATATTCATGTTCGGCCTTGAATTAACTTGTTCGGCCTCTGCGGCAGTGGCGTATTTATTTCGATAAATCAGTACTAATATGATGCGAAACATGACGTACAAACATGGTGGCACTAAAATGGTACCAACACGTGTTGGTACGGGACAATGTTGAATTTAACAGATGCCGAGATATCATTAAAGGCCACTTCCGCCATCTTGGATTTTGGAAATTGGATTAAGAATGCGTGATATCCAAAAAAATTCTAGACTAAGATTCGGATTCCTCATTAAAAATCGATGTAATTTTATGTCATGTATCATACATTACCAGGGTGAAGAAAAAAGGTTTATCGTAGATACTGATTCCAACGTGTCAGTCCAATGGCAGCATAGGTTGGTAGGCGGATGAGAGAGACTTCTCAGAAATTCTTCGGGATGAAACCGAATGCTTAGCGCCGGCGCTTTTAGGGTCGACTCCGGGCGGAGCCTTTGAGCTATATGCCGCTAGCGCCGCTGGCGGTTTCGATGTCGATTCGATCGATTCATGGGGTTTTCGATCGATTCACGGTGTCGGTAGTCGATTGATTCGTTGTTGATTGGTTCACGTTTTCATTTTTTGATCGATTCATGTCGATCGAATCCGTACCCTAGACTTCGAATAGGTTCATGAATCAAATGAACTTCATTTTAAGATTAGGAACCACAATTGAAGCAGTGAGTTCGAAAACACACCAACTCGGAAAAAAAATTGTTCAGGAAACACCTAAAACTGCGCAGAGGGCGAAGTAGTTAGTTTAAGAAAAACATTTTTGGTGCCAAAGGACAAGTACCTAGAGACTTTCTAAAGCACCAAGTTGAAATTGATACACCATGTTTGATGACAGAGAATTAAGCGTTTAAAAATTTCCGAGTTGGTGTGTTTTCGTTCTCACCGACTTACCAATACTGATTTTTCATAGTCTTAGGAACAACGAATTTTGCACGTTTTACAGATGAGCCAGAACTCGTAGTTTCAAATAGCGAGATGGTTGAGATGGTCACGCCATTACATCATTAAGGAACGAGGAACCCGACAGGTAAGAGTCGTTTTACTTGCATGCTTCTATTTAAAATTATGTATTAAAAAAATGTATGTAAATGAAGAGAAGAAAATTAGTTGGGTTTTATGTTAAGGTTTATTATTTGAAATGACAATCATTTCAATTAACTGACATAAACTTCAAAATCGTAAGTTGAAAAAAGCTGAGACCGTAAGTTTTAATAATCGCGTTACACACAGTGCGGCTGGCGCGGAGGTAGCGCGCATACGGTTCGGAACGTCTAGTAGCGCCTTACAAGATCGCAGGATACTTCATGCATTGCGCGTATAGCGCCGGTGCGGCTCAAGTCGTTTGAAGTCGTATTTTCTTGGTGTCGAACCTACTCCGGTGTACACCATTTCCGAACAGAGCACACCGCGAGCTTGCAATCCCAGGATCGAAGGATTGTAGAGACTTTGCACTTGAATGTTTCTCGGTGAAAATATAATTTACGAGTGGACATTTTTCTAGTTGGAATGCTGTTACGTTCTGTGGTCCAGAAAAAGCCGAACTTAGCTTACTTCCAGGGAGAGAATGTGGACATTTATTTTTCATCACAAAAATGTGGCAAAATTTTCAGGGAGATATTTTTGGTATCTCATTCACGCAAAAATGAACTCAGGCAATCTAATCTGACCTCGGCAATGTCTGCAAAATGACCTAGGTGCCTAAATGGCTAATATCGAAAAAAAAAAAAACCCCAAAAATGTGTGTGAATGTGTGAGGGGGAGGG